CCCAGTTGCAAAACAACCAAAAAAAAAAAAAGAAAGAAAGAATTTGGTCTCTACACTAGAAGTAGTGATTAGTTATTTTACAGTGTTTTCAATATGAATGTTCATGTACGCTGTGTGAGATATGGTTGGATTTAAGTTCTGAAAAGATCACTCTGGCTGTAGTATGAAGTCCGAGTTGTAGGAAGACAAGACTAGAAAAGGTGAGCCAATTTAGCAGGCCCTTGTCCTGGGGTAGCACAGATCAGGATGTTGGTAGTAGAAGTGATATGAAAATGATGGATTCCAGAGATGGATCACGAAGGTAAAACTGATGATAAGATTTTAAAAAGAATTAGATATAGGGTCAAGGAAAGGGAAGGAGTCCCCTCGTGCTACTGGGTGGAGAGTGATGTAAATCAGTCATGGAGATCATCTGGTCATCAATGAGGATTTTCTAAATAGTATCTGCTTTGCCAGGCTCCATGCTCGAGATGCTATAGGACTGAGATTCCAGGTAATGATTTTGTTGCATTTAAGATGCCTTAACTGCCAAGTAGATTCAAGGTGACCTTTTTTTCTAGCAGCCCCATCAGATTTCACTCATTCTCTAACTAGAATGTTCAGTTCCATGAAAGAAACGTTTTTATATTTTGCTCATTGCTCTCTAGATCTGCTGCAGTTCCTAACCTTTGGGCACCTTGCTAGGTTATTAGTTGTATATATATTTAAAAAATCTCTCATCTTTTACCCCGTCAGCCCCTTCTTATTCTCACACTGCTCAAGGGGTACCAAGGACTGCATAAGATCTAAAGCCTTTCCCGTGCATGGTGATGGTAGCTGTGGTACAAGGATCTCTGCTTAGAACCAAGAGCCAAGCAGCCTAAACTTTTAAAACGTAAAGTAAAAAGTTAATTTGACTGTACATATTTCAAATCGGCTGTCTGATATTCCGGATAAATTTTTCCCCCCAATCAAAGGAGTTTTTGGTACACAACTGCCTCAGGGACACCGGGACACCGGGACATAGCTCGCTAGGTTCCGGAAACACTGCTCTCAGAGGGCCAGGGAGGTCTGCACCTCCTGCCTGGAGAGGGCCTGCAGCACTCACTGGACAGGTCCCGCGCCGCGGCCGGGCACTGGCTCAGGGCCTGGGACGCCAGGATGTCGAGCTCCTCCAGGTCGTCGGCAGTGAGTTCCCCGTGCGCATCGAACGGGTCCTCGGGATCCAGGGGGGCAGCCACGGGGAAGCCCCGGGCCCGCTTGCTCGGGGGGTGGCCGGGGCCAGGCGGCGGGCCAGGGTGGAGTGCCTGAGGCCGCCTCCTACTGCTCTGCGCGGTGGTCCCGGCCATGCCGCCCTTGGGCCCCAAAAGAGTCTGCACGAGGACCGAAAAGGACCAACCACCCGCGCGCCGCTGCTCTCCTCAGCCACCGGGGCCCCGGGGCTGCGGGCCAATCAGTCTCCAGAGATAGGGCGCGGGGGAATGACGTACTCCGGAGCACGTCGCAGCTCTCGGCCCGCCCCTCCCCAAGCTTTCCAGTGTATGCAGTAGATCTGCGGCTGGCGCGAGTGGGTGGTGTATCTGCTTTTCTGAGCCTCTTCCCTGGCACCCTGGACTACGAAGCTGCGCAAGAGTAGTTCGCCCTGGCATTATCACTTGCGCGCTTGAACCGAGCAGGCAGCCTTCAGGAGTCGTGTTACTGTCTTCCCACCAAACCCACCTGTCACATACCTGGAGATTTCGTTTAGGCGGAAGGCCGGGAGAGCGGGACCGCGGGAGGTGTATGAAGCTGTTGTGAGCAGGCATCTTCCAGAATAATAAATGTTTCAAATGTATGCATATGTCTGAGGAGAGAGTGATCTGAGAACGTGTGTCTGTGTGGGAAGGGGTTAACATTCATTCACTCATCCCTCTGAGTGTGGGAGTTTTTTTGTCCCAAGCGCTGGAGGCTGGAGGCCAACGAGGCCTAGGAGGTCAAAGGAGGCCTCCTGGAAGTGGCCCCTGGATTGTCCAAAAGGTTGGAAATTAGCAAGAAAAAAAAAGGCTAGGAGGCTGGCACATGGGACTACTTTGACAAGAATTCAACACGTAGGGCCAGTCAGGAGTTATCTATGGCAAAGACAGAAGGTAGTTTCACAGAGGAACAGGAATTTGAGCTGGGCTGCAGTGCCTGCAGGATTTTACTGAGCAGCAGTGAGGTAGCAGCAGGAGAGGATTAACATTGCTGAGCAACAGGAGCAAGACTTTTCAACCTTGAATGCTCAGTATACAGCCTGTGACTGTCCCGTGAGTGTTAGAGCATTATACGAAAGGGAGATTAAATGAAAAAGAGATTGTTGTCAGGCCTAGAATTCCTAAGGAGTTTAGTGTTTCTTGGTTTTTTCGTTTTCTTTTTTTGAGACAAAGTCTTGCTATGTAGTTCAGGCTGGCTTTGAACTCACTGTATAGTACAGGGTGTCCTCACACTTGCAGCACTCCTGCCTCAGCCTCTCAAGTGCTAGGATTACAAGCATGTGCCACTATGCCTAGCTAGTTTAGTTTTTTTTTTTTGTACTGGGGATCAAACTCATGACCTTGTGCTTTCCAGGCAGGCATGCTGCCACTGAGCTAAATCCCAGGCCCTAGCTAGTTTAGTTTTTTAAAGCAACTGGTAGGTTCCCTAAGATAGCTGCTTGGACACTGAAAAATTTTTTCCTGGTACTGGGATTGAACCACCTAAGGTGTTTGTACTGAGTTACATCCCCTGCCCTAATTTTGAGACAGGTCTTGCTAAGTTGCCCAGGTTGGGCAGGCTCAAAAAAAAATTTTTTTTTTTTGACAGCGTCTCACTAGCCCAAACTGTCCTCAAATTCTGAGTGATCCTCCTGCCTCAGCCTCCCACTTATTGGGAGTACAAGCACATACCCCTGTACCTGGCCTGAATGTTTAAATTGTCTTAATTGCTGCAGGTCTCTGGGTCTGGAGACAGGCTTGTTCATTTGTCAACAGAAATTAGGGTCCACCAATCAGAAAAGAAGTAACTTCCTTCTAGGTTCAGTGTACTGTTATTAATACTCAGAAGGGTTGTTTTCATCAGTGCTGGTCTGGGTGCCCCGTAGGGAATGCTTAAACCCCAAAGAAGATGCTGCTGGCTGTACAACTTTCTGGAGAGGACCACAGCAAGCTGGTATAGGTTTTTGTTTTCTATTAATACCTGCTACACTGTAGTCATAAAACAGGTTTCAATCTATCAAAACCCTTTCTAGGTCGGGTGCAATGGCATGCCTATAAATACCAGCTACTCAAGTCTGAAGCAGGAGGATCATGAGTTTGAGATCAGCCTGGACAAACAAAAAAGCCCCAAACCAATTTCAGTCTTGATATAGCAGTCTCAAAATGATTCTAGATTTTTTTTTTTTGACAGGGTCTAGCTGTGTAATTTAGGCTGGCTTTGAACTTGTGGTGATCCTCCTGCCTCAGCCTCCAGAGTGCTGGGATTACATGTGTTTGCCACCATGCCTGGCACTAGAGTCCTTTTTTTTTTTTTTGGTACCTGAGATCAAACTCGGGAGCTTGCGTTTGCAAGGCAGGCTCCGGAATCACTGAGCTAAATCCCCTGCCCTAGAGTCCTTTTTAAAAACACATTCTCGGCCCAGGGATTTAGCTCAGTGGTTCTGGCGCCTGCCTCGCAAGCGCAAGGTCCCGAGTTCGATCCCCAGCACAAAAAAAAAAACAACCCACATTCTCAGAGGAAATTTACCATTATTCCCATATTTGTACCAGGGCCAGGAGGGGAAATCAAAAGGCTTGTGCTTCTCATGTCAGTGTTTCAGTAAACACATATGGATGGGTTCTGTCCTCAAGTTTACACTGTGGTCAGAGGTGTCAGATGATAATCAAGTGTCAGGAGAAAAAACAAACCAAGGTGAGGTGATGGAATTAGTGATTAGAGGTCACTATTGTGATGGTTGAGTTCAGTTCTCTAAAGGGAGTGTCCAGTATCTAGGACTCTGACAGGCAGAAGAGTTGGTAAAAATACAGTGAAGCAGAAGCTTGCCTGAAACACTGGCTACTCTGGCTGGAGATAGACCAGTGAGCTGGATAGCAGAGATCAGAGGGAAAGGAGTGGTGTCTAAAGCCTATATGGCCTCATCGGTAATTTTAAGAACTTTGGCTTTTGTTCTAAGAAGTGACTGAAGAGTAAGTCAAGCAGAAAGTGACTTACGGCCTAGTAAATTAACTCTGGGTTTCAAGTGAAGATTAGATTGCAGCAAAGCAATGGTAAGGGAAAGAAAATAAATTTGGGGGTGATGACAATCATCTGGATAGATTATAGAATGGAGAGATAGTATTGGAAGGAATATGGTAAGGCCAGATTTTCTTTTGGTGGACTAAATGTGGGCTGTAAGATATAGGAAGCCTGGCTTCATGGCCCACACCTGTAATCCTAGCCCTTGGGAAGCTGAGGCAGGAGGGTCACTGTGAGTTTGAGGCTACCTTAGACTATGTAGCGTTCAAGGCCTGGACTACATAGCAAGACTCAAAAAGCCAGCAAGGACCTTTTCTGCAGCCCTAGTTGACATGCAGCCTTGAAGAGCATCTGGTTCTTAGATTCTGGCCTCTTCTCTCCCATTTCCCCCCTCCATAGTATGTATCATGTGTACCTATCACAACAGACAGGGTCCTTGACAAAAGGAGCTGTGTTCACGGGTACACACCTGTGTCTGCCCAAAGTGGACTCCTTATGTGAACAGGTGGTAACTCAATTGAACCATATTGCAAATTGAGTATTAGAACAGAAAGGATTTTTTTCTTCCTAAAGTACAAATTCTTCCACTAACCTCAGGTAAGGTATTCTGTTGAATATATAACCATACCAGAATAACTGTTTTTCAAATAAACTGGTTTAATGCCAGATGATAGGGAATTCAGGGTATAGAACAAAGATCAATGAGCAGACTATGTCAGAATTATAGGCTGGGTTTACTTTAAATTCACAGGTGAGGTAGGAAAGGCTGAATGAAAACTAGAGAGACAATAAGCCACTGTATGATTTTTTATTTATTTTTTTTACAAAACTTTATTGTTAAATGTACAGCAGACTCCAAGAAGACACTTCATTCTAGTCCTAGGTGTCAAAAGATGTTATGGCAGGGAATCCAGGTATTTGAATAGGAATGGAATCAAGGGTCACCATCATCTTAGGCACAAGGAACAATTTATTTTTTGCCAGATTTCTTAATTCCACCTGTAGCTGCAAAAGGGGAAAAAAAAATCACTTACTGAATAATACAGTTCTTATGGTAAAAACCCATGGGTTTGATGTGGGACTAGTAAGGCTTGGTTCTTGTACTGTGCATTCACTTTGACATAGGCATGAAAAGCAGTTTCCTAGTATCTATTTTGGGCAAAGGCAGAATGAGATTGAGGAAGGGGAACAAGCAATGGCTGTAATGTTGTTCCATATCTACACTGTTGTGTATGTCATTCATTGTGTCACAGCAACCCACTTCACAGATAACAAGTCTTAATATTTGGTGTTGTTCAGGGTTAGAAGCTGGTATGTGATGAACCAGAACTCCAATCTGGATAGCCTGACTACTAGGTCAATACTGCCACATTACATTATGCTATATCTCATATTATGTTTTTGTGGTCTTGTTAACTCACTGCATTTATAATTTTTCTGGGGGGTGCACTATGGACTGAACCCAGGGCCTTTGGCCTGAGCTATATACTCAGCCCTTTTAAATTATTATTATTATTATTATTATTATTTGTACCGGGGATCGAACTCTGGACCTTGCGCTTTTGAGGCAGGTGGTAGAACCACTGAGCTAAATCTCCGGCCCCTAAATTATTATTATTGAGACAGGGTTTTGCTAAGTTGTACAGGCTAGGCTTGAATTTGTAATTCTTCTGCCTTGATTTGTCAAGAGTTAAAATTACAGGCATGTGCCTATATGTTGCTGGGTGTGGTGTCACACACATGTAACCCTAGCACTCGGGAGGCTGAGGTAGGATCACAGCAAGTTCAAGGCCAGCCTGAACTACATAACCCTCTGTGTCAAAAAAATAAAACAAAGGCCTGTATATTACTCAATTTACAAATGACATTTGACACCCAGTAGGTAATTAATAAGCAGTATGCCTAATACAGGAATGAAGATACAAAAGGGCTGTAAAAAAAAAAAATCTTAAAAACAAAACACAAGCTGGTTGATTATCTCCTATCTAAAATGCTTAGAACCCAAAGTGTTTTGGATTTTGGAACATTTGCATATGCAAAATAAGATATATTGGGGTACTGGATCTAAGTTTAAACACAAAATTCATTTATGTTTCACATACCCCCATTCACATTGCCTGAAGGTGACTTTATATAGTAGTTTTAGTCCATGTGAAATAAAACAGGTACCCTCATAGAACAAGAGATGTGGAATCTTAGACCTTAATCCAAGAACCCTTATCCACTAAAGATGGAGACCACCTCTTTCTCCCCTCCCTTACTAACAATGTATGAAATACTCCAGCATTCCCTACTTTTATCATCACAGGACCACATGTGTTAAAACTGCAGTGAGAAGCCAGGATGTCTCAAGGGTAAGAACAACCACTGACCCATGTCTTTTTCCTCCTTCTGGTACTAGGGATTGAACCTAGGCCCTTCACACTGAACTACATCCTCAGCCCCTTTTATTTTTTTGAGACAGGGTCTTGCCAAGTTCCTAAACTGTCTAGGGCTCAAATTTGCAATGGTCCTGCCTTGGCCTCCCAGAGTACTGGGATAACTTCATGACCCACTGGCAAGTTACCAGCCCCTACCCCACCCGAGCAAAACCTTAAAAGGTAATCCTATCCCCATAAGGGGTGGGCAACTTGGGATTCTCATGTCCTCCTTGGGGGAACTCCTCTGACGCCATTCACTAACATGTCAATTTTATGATTTTCATCCAAATTGAGTAAAAGAACCCTTGGCTGATTTGTTACAGATTTTTCTTTTTGGTACCAGGGATTGAACTAACACATCTGCATTCAAAAACATTTTGGATATAGGAGCACTTTGGGTTTTCAGATTAAGGATGCTTAATTTGCACAGGGTTTCATGAAGGACTGGCTTTCTCCCTATACATGATTACAGATTAAGGGAAGGTGAAAGATAATAGATATCAATCTCAACAGGAAGAATCCTAGCACTGTGTGGGCAAATAATAATGGACTAGCCGGGGATTTAGCTCAGTGGTTTCACTGCCTGCTGGGCAAGCGCAAGGACCCAAGTTCAATCCCCGGTACCAAAAAAAAAAAACCACAACACTATCATAAAATAATAATGGACCGAATCCACTGGGATAGGAGTTTTGGGAAGCCCTGGCTGATATTTCCATTATCTTTCCCTCCATCACACCCTGTGTGGCTCAGAATGCTCAAACATGGGATAAATAACTGTAAAGGGGGCCAGGGATTTAGCTCAGTGGCACCATGTCTGTCTGGCAACTGCAAGGTACTGAGTTCGATTTCCCGTGTGGGGGTAATAAAAAACTGTAAATGAAATAATCACTAGTCTGAAAAATGCAAATGTTCAAAAATGTACAAATGTAAATGTTTATAAAGAACATTAGGGCTGGGGATTTAGCTCAGTGGTTCCAGCGCCTGCCTCGAAAGCGCAAGGTCCCAAGTTCGATCACTGGTAACAAAACAAAACAAAACAAAGCACATTAAGGGCCGTGGATCTAGCTCAGTGGCACTGTGCCTACCTGGAAAGTGCAAGGTCACGAGTTCAATCCCTGGTGCTGGTGGGGAGTGAGCACATTAAGCCAAGTGTGGTGGCACATACTTGTAACCCCAGCACTCAGGAGGGTAAGAGGGGAGGATCACTGAGAGTTCAAGGACAGCTTGGACCACACTGAGACTTTGTCTCAAAAAAAAAAAAAAAGTACTTTATACATTACCCCTGCTGGGCTTGAAGAATCTTTTGAGACCTATGTAATCCATTACTCTCATATAAAGGAAAAAGCAAAATGGTAGGTTTGGTTACAAAATCAAGTGGAACAATAGCAAGCCAACTAGATGCACCCAGAAGTGACTCTGGATGCTTTATCATTTATTACAGATAATACAAGCAGTAAACAAAAGTTCTAAGTAAGGTTGTAAGCAAAAAAGACAGTGACTTAAAAACTTGGGGCAAGAAATTGTGGAGAATACTCAGAAACTTACCTGTCAGAATCTGTGGGGCACATTTCTGCACCTTCCGTACAGAATGAAAGCCCAAGGCTGACTGGGCGGAGAGGCCGCCAGGTACCCAGACCCCAGTTCCCCGAAGAGGCAGCAAGGATGAGCGGGGCCTCGGTCCTGCTCAGCGCGCACTTACCCAGTGGACCCCTTCCCGCAGCCTTCGTTTTTAGCTCCTCGAGTTTCTTCTGCTCCTCTTTTTGCTTCTGTTTGAACGCTCTATCTTCCTGTGGGGAGAGAGGGCGACGGGTTCACAACAGGCGGGTCTCCCACCCCTCGGCTTCCCTCCGCGTCTGGGAGCCCGCGCTCACCTCGTCCATCTCCTTGGTCTGTTTCTTGGGCTGTTTCAAGGGCTTCTTCTTGCCACCTGTAGGCGACACGTGCGCACTCAGCTCGGCCCCGCCGCCCGCCCTCTTTCTTTCGTCCCTTGCCTCACACCCCACACCCCACACCCCACACCCCACACGCTCACCTTCGCGGCCGGACATGGCGCCCGCACACTCTCCGGAAACGGGTTCAAAAGCCAGCAACTCGGCCACCGGCGCGCCCCCTACGCGTATATGGCGACACGCACCCGTGGATTGGCTGCCGAGCCGGAAGCCGCTCTTCAACTACAGGATGAGGCTCCCCGGGGGTGGGCGCTAATGGGTCAGAGGTTAACTGAGTGGCAGCCGGTCCACCGGGTTAGGCTCCTGCTCGGTAGGCTGGGTGGGCGGCCAGTTTGGAAGGAGGGCGGTTCCTCCCGGGGCGATCTGGAACTACGAAGGGGAACCAAGATAGGTCGCGCACGGGACGGAAGAACACAGTGAATAGAGGGGTGGACTTGCGCAAAGGTGAGTTCCTGGGACCCGGTGGCACCTGGGCTGGATAGAGACAGCCGTGGGCGGGGCCTGGATCATGGTCTCTTAGAATTCTGGAAGCCCGGTTGGAAGTGTGCGGTTCAGAAAATAAGCAGACTGACTGAGAATTCTGTGTATTTATCCAGTACATTTTTGTTGAGCATATATTCTGTGTAGATCGTGTTCTAGGCACTGGAGATAAAGCTGGGAACAAAACTTCAGTCCTGGCAGAGTTAATATTGTAGGAAGTGAGACAGACTATAGCAAATGAAGCAGGGAAGGTAAGGGGTGCTGTGGCGATTTTGTCTTTGTTCTTTTACTTCCCAAACTGGGGATTGAATCCAGGGCCTTTGCACTGTGCTACATCCCAGCTCTCTCTCTCTCTCTTTTTTTTTTTGGACAAGGTCTCACTACATAGTTCAGGCTGGCCTTGAACTCACTATAGAGCTCAGGGTGGCCTCGAACACGAAGCGATCCTACTGCTTCAATCTCCCGAGCGCTGGCCTGGATTTTTTTTTTTTCTTTTTTTTAATTTGAGACAGGATCTTGGTAAGAGTCTTAAATTGCCTAGGCTAGGCTCAAATTTGTGATCCTCTGTCTCAGCCTTTCAGAGTGTTGGGATTACAGGTATGTGTGTCACAATGCTGGGCCGGGATGGCAATTTCTTTTTTTTCTTTCTTTTTTTTTTTGGTACCAGGGATCTAACTCAGGACCTTGTGCTTTCGAGGTAGGTGGAGGAACCACTGAGCAAAATCCCCGGCCCAGCAATTTCTGATAGTATGTTTAGGAAAGATCGCAGGAGCTGGCATTTGAACAGAATTTAAAAAGAAGGCTGAGCTGGGGGGTGAGGAGCCAGGGAGCAAGCAGTGCAGTGAATAGCTGATGCCAAGGCTCTGATGTGAAAATAGCCTACAGCACTGGTGGTGAATCTGTGGCGCAAGTGCCTCAGCTGGCTGATTGTTATCATTGAAAGCTCTAAAAGTTTCACCATTACTGGCCTAAAATGTTATATAGCCAAAATTGTCCACATGACTGGTCTCAAGTGAGGAAAGGGAGATAGTGGGACAGGAGGTCAGAGAGGAATGAAAGCTAGAGGTGGGTCCCCTTTAGGTCATGGAAAAGACTGGCTTTTCCTTGAAAGAAGTGGGGAATGGTTGCAGGATTTGAGTAGAGAGAGATGTGATATTACCTGTGTTTTTTAAAGGACCACTAGCTGCTCTGTTGATGGGGAGACCTGTTAGACTTGGGATGCAGGCAAGGGATGTTGGTCATTGGGATTACTTGGAAGCAGACAGAGATAGGAAGAGGAATCCTGCCTAGGTTTAGGAAGCCAGTAGGCAATTGCTGATAGATTGGATGTGAAGTAGAAGAACAGTGAGAAGTTAGGGATGATGTGAGGTTTTTGGCCTGAGAATTTGGTCTTGGGGTTGCCATCAACTAAGATGGAGAAAGCTGGAGGAGAAGCAGATTTGTGAGGGAAAGGTGAGATTCCAATAGATTTTCAAGCAGAGATATAGGTTGGGCAGTTCAATAACTGAGCCTAGAATCCTGAAAAGCCTGGGCCAGAAAAGTCAAAAGTATAGTTTTTGTTTGGTGTGCTGAAGATCAAAGCCAGGGCCTTGTGGATGCTGAGCAAATAATCTGCCATTGAGCTATACCTACAGACCCATACCATTTTTATATTTATTAATTAATTAATTTTCAGATGGGATCTGGCTATGTTCAAGGATAGCCTTGGAACTCACTATGTAGCTTAAACAGGCCTCGAACTTGTGGTAGTTCTTCTGGCTCAGTCTCCCAAACGCTGGGATTATAGATGTGAGCCACCATGCCTGGCTCCTGTAGCATTTTTAAAACCAGAAAACTGTATGAGCAATGAGTCTGAGCACTGAACATTGGGGTGTGACAGTTTATGGAGGTTAGGAAAATGAGGGAGAACTGGAAGGCAAGTGAGAACAATGTTTGAAGGAGCGGGACCTATGATAAGGCACAGGCTGCTGACAGGACAAGTGAGATTAGGCCTGAGAACTGGCCATTGGATTTAGCAGTGTGGCGGTGACCTGGACAAGAGCTGTTCCAGTGGCATGGTAGACATGAAGGCCAGAGCAGAAAGGGCTTATGAGAGAGTTGGAGGAGGGTAGCTGGAGATCAACGGTGATCAATCTCTCAAAGTATCTGATGGTTAAGAGGAGCAGAGATGCTGGGCATGGTGGAGCATGCTTGTAATCTTAGCACTGGGGAGGCTGAGGCAAGAGGATCACCGAGAAGCCAAGGCCAGCCTAGACTACATAGTGAGTTCAAAGCCAGCTTGAGCTACATAGCAAGACTTTGTCTCAACCAAAAAAAAAAGAAAAAGAAATATGCGGTTGTGGAGAGGTCTTACTTCATTCAATAACTGAATGGTGGGAGAGAATATGGTATAGGCCATGGGGTGGGCGTGGGGGAGGTTGAGGGGAGGGACTAGAATGGAGAGGTAATGTAGGAGTTACTGACATGTTTTCTCATAGGGCCCCAACTGTCACTGAGCTTTTCTACTAGGAAATATGTAGAAAAATGAAGCAGGAAAGATGGCCAGAAATGGAGTGGTCAAGGAAGGCCTTACTGAGATGTAACGTATGAGCAAAGACATAGATGTCAAGGTGATCTGTGTAGACCTGCCCCAGAAGAGTGGTCTAAGTGGGCAGGAAGCAGGGCCCAAATCCTGTGGCAGGATCATGCTTAGCATGTCAGGGTGGCTGGAGCAGAGTACGGTGATGGAGAAAGAGAAAAGGTGAGGGCTAAGAGGTACTGGTCTTGTTGGTGACTGCCAGGCCTGGAGTTAGTGCCAGGTGAGCTGGGAGCTATGAGGGGCTTTAACCAGAAGGGTGTGGTCTGACTCAAGTTATCAGATCCTTGGGCTGGAGAAGGCTGGGGAGGGCAGGGGAAGCCAAGATTGTGCAGGAGGTTACAGCTGTCATCTCTGCCAGGGATGGCTAGCCCTCCTGGGCTCCAAGAGTGGGACACTAGTAGAAGAGAGGCCAGGAAAGGAGGCTGTGAAGGTTGGAAGAAGCTGAGAGGGGCAGTGATTTCAGGAAGAGTGTATTGAAAGCTACGGAAAGATTGGAGAAGAAATCTAGAAGCAGAAATCTAAACCTAACAAAGTGGAAATTTTGAGACGCCTCCAGGAGAGCAGCTGTGATCATGGAATAGGAACGAAAGAGAAGGGAGTTGAGGAAATGGTGACAGCAAAGTGCTAAACCCTTTCTACTGGGTGTTGCTGGGCAGGAGACTGGGTTCTGTTCCTGGTGGGCGCAGGGCTGCAGGTCTTTGATGAAGGGAACACCTTCAGGCTGTTTTGGGGGTGCAGCCTGTGTGCCCTGGGGACTTCCCCTGAGGCGTGGGAAGCTCACTCCTCCACTGGAGATGCTTGCTGTGCTTCCTGGGTGTGGTCCCAGCCTTAGGAACAGGGACAGGTGACTGGGGAGCAGCACCAGTTTGGGATCACTGTCACAGGGATGCACTGTTCATCTTGGGCCCACTTTGACCAGAAGGCATGTCCCTTCCCGCCCAGGTTTTGTTTTCAAGAGGGCCTGAGCCTCTCCACAGAGGATGAGGAGGAGGCTGGGGTGCTGTGGGCAGGTCTGTGTTCCAGTTCACCCTACAGCTCGAAGCCCTTTGTTCTGTACCTCGCTTCTCCCTCTCTCCCCTCCTCAGGTCCCTCTGTTTTTCGCTGGCCTGTTGGGCACTAGGTGTCGCTCTAACTGCTGGCATCAGCCCCTGGCGGGGCAGGGTTGGATAGAGGGAGGTGCTGTTTTTTCTTGGGAATGTGAATAGGCTTCTCTTTGGGGTACTCTGGGTCATACAAGGAAGCTGTTATTAGGGTCCAAACATCAACGAAAGCCTGATAGAGAAGCCTGACCTTGGAGCAGTGCCTGAGCTGGGGAGGAAGGGAAAAGCTTGCAGAAGATGGGGACTGTGGGACTGGGACTTGGGATCCAGCAGGGTTGGGGTTGGAGGGAAGGAGAATGGTTGGTGAGAAGCTAAGAAAAGCTGTCCTCTGTGGAAAAAGCAGATTCTGTCCTTCCCCTGGAATTGTCTTCTGAAAGGAGAGCTGAGTTTTCTGCCTTAGATAATGAATGACCTGTCCGTAGGTCCTCACGAGTAAGGGCAACCCTGCCTCCCCAGAGCCAAGGCAGCCTCAGGGAGTCAGGGATGTTATAGAAATGACACTGAATCTTAATCTTCCCCAAATTGCCCTTGGTTCTGTCATTTCCCAGGGGTCTTTATGAACGTTTGTGGGACTTTGTGAGTATGGACACGACTGGTTTGAGAAATTTCTTTGACATTACTAGAAAACAGTACCAGGATTTTCATCCAGGTCACATCAGTGAGTCCTGGGGAATGCAGGGAGGTGAAGGGTCTGGTTTGTGTGGTGTCATGGAGGGAAGGGGAAGGCATGATGTTCCATATGAACTCTTCACTGTTTGTGTTTCATTGTCCAGGAGTTGGGGGGAATCTGATCATCTCTTGTCACAGGTCTCTGGAACCAACAGAGTGGGGCTTGCTTTAGATGATTTTAGTGGAAATTAATTTGTTCAGAACCTTATCTAGGCCTTGAATCCTGACTTGTGTCCATCTTTTCTCAGCTGTGAGCTGATCTGTGTGGCATCCCCTCACAGGTCTCCTGATGATGGGTTGCAGTCCTGCATTTGCTATGCAGCACATTGTGAGTGTGCCCCATGTACTGATACGGAGAGGCCTCCTTGGAAGGGACTTTGTTATAGCCAGGACTCTCTGCAGCCCAGGCCCCACCCAGCCCGGAGAGAAGCGCCCTGAGGAGGCAGTCCTGTATCATCGTCTCCCAGCTCTGGGGAGAGCCCTGGGGCGAAGCATTCAGCAACGAGCTGCCTCCATAGCCAAGACTTGGTGGGACAGATATGAAGAATTTGTGGGGCTCAATGAAGTGCGAGAGGCCCAGGGAAATGTGACTGAGGTGAGGAAAGAACCTGGGAGATTGGACCTGCCACTGACCTGGGAAATGGGGCTTACTGACCCTTGCCAACAAGTCACCAGCCACACGGTGCTGGTGTCATCCGGATGTGCCTTTTCTTAAACAAATATCAGAGCCGGGGATTTAGCTCAGTGTTTCCGGCGCCTGCCTCACAAGCGCAAGGTCCCGAGTTCGATCTCCAGTGCCAAAAAACCCCACAAAAACAACAACAAACATCAGTAGTAGAGGAATCTGACTTTACCTCACGTGGAAACCTGGGTCTGATACTACTGGTGTGAAGGTTTCTATGTAACTGTATCTCTAATGCTCCTTCAAAATTGTCACTGTGTATCAGCAAGTCCCTATCCACTAACACTATTATGCCAGCAAACACTCCTTTACAGACTGAGGTGGGGTGGACGACGGGCTGGTGGTGAGAGTTGCTGCCTTACTGTGTGAAGGTGAAAGTCACTGGGAAAAATCAGATTGGGAGGTAGAAAGAGCTGCTTGTGGTTAAGTCCTTTTGGCAGCAGAAATGCATTCTGTTCACCTCTGTTATTACTCCTGCTCAGGCACAGAGGAGTACAGTGAGGGAAGAACCTGGGGTTCTGCTGAGGGTTTGAAGCACATTGTTGTCTTTCTCCTTGGACATTGTAAGTTTGGCTGACCTGAGGTTTCCAGGTCTATAAACCATAGCAAGGCCCTTGATGGTGTTATGAAACATAAAGAAGGTAGCACACGGGAAATAGTAGAAGCACATGCCTTTTTTCTTGTGGTTTGTATCAGATAAGAGTTGGCTGGGTTTAGTGGACACAGATTTTATGCATTGTTGGCTGTTTTCAAGTTTCTCAGGGGCATGTTATTTCTGCTTGAATGGACAAATCCTGTGCTTCAGTGGGCGTGGCCCACGGCTGCACTTTGAGCAGTACTGAGTAAGCCAGGATTAGTGTCTTTGGGACTGTTTCTACTCTTTGCAGCTGACACCCCACTGACCTTTTCTTAGCCACTGCCTTTTTGGCAACAGAACTGGCCTGTGTGGGAATGGACAGAAGGGTCTGACAGCCTCCACTATCCTCTCTGCAGGCAGAGAAAGTGTTCATGGTAGCTCGTGGGCTTGTCCGAGAGTCTCGGGAGGACTTGGAAGTTCAGCAGACCAAGCTGAAGGAGGTGAGGGACCGCTTGGACCGTGTCTCCAGGGAGGACAATCAGTACCTGGAATTGGCTACTCTGGAGCACAGGATGCTGCAGGTAGGGCTATTGGGAGGCAGCCCTTCTTCCCCTGCACAGAGCCCCTAGCCTGGCCCATTATGGAGGGCCAGGTTGGAATCCTGAACGGCCTGGTAGTGAGAGGTCTGGTGAGGAGGTAAACTAGAAAGTTCCTGTGGAAGGATAGGGCCTCTGGCTTCTGTGGCCTTTCTACCCTGTAGATTGACAGTCTGGGACCTGTACTGAGAAGGGAGTACCAATGGAGGAGCTGGCCTAAGCAGCGCCGAACATAGCTTCCTGTAGACACATTTTCAGGGTGTAGTGCATGCCCAGCCTACCCAAGACTGCCCAGTGGGAAGATGAAGCTGCTCACTCCACACTCCCGTTCTCTGCTCCTGCACCTGACCAAGTGTATGCTGCCTTTATCTGTGCAGCAGGTGTTGGTGGAACCAAGGTTAGGGGAATGGCTTACATGCTTGTGGCTGCAGCCACAGGGCCCTTTGCTGCTGTGTGACATTGCTTTGCTTCTGCAGGAGGAGAAGAGGCTCCGCATAGCCTATGTGGGTGCAGAAGACTCTGAGCGTGAGAAGTTCTCTCTCTTCTCTGCAGCTGTGCGGGAGAGCCATGAGAAGGAGCGTGCAAGGGCTGAAAGGACTAAGAACTGGTCCCTCATCGGGTCAGTTCTGGGAGCCCTGATTGGTGTGGCTGGCTCCACCTATGTGAACCGTGTACGGCTACAGGAGCTGAAGGCCTTACTCCTGGAGGCACAGAAGGGACCCCTGAGTCTCCAGGAGGCCATCCGTGACCAGGCAGCTAGCTACTCCCTCCAGCAGAGGGACCTCCGTGACCTCGTGGTGGACCTGAAGGGGCTGGTGCATACCGGGCAGGGCCAGGGCTCTGGGTCACCAGCAGGTGTTTCCACTACCAGAGAGAGACACACAGATTCCCTTTCATCTGCCTTACAAGAGCAGCTTAGTCATTCCCAGCAGGTCTATTCTTGTCTAGAAGGTTTACGAGAGCAGCTCAATGGTCTGGATAAGACTTGCAGCCAAATGGTTGGGGTGATTCGGCTTGCAGAGGCCACAGCACACCCAGGCCTGGAGAAGCCAGGAGACGGGGCTCTTCCCAGCTCCTTGCTGGCACACGGGAGCATGATCTTGGCCCTATCCAACATGGAACAGAGGCTGGAAGCCCAAGTGAACAGAAACACTATCTACAGCACATTGGTCACTTGTATGACATTTCTGGCCTCACTGCCCGTGCTCTACATGCTGTTCAAGGCCAGCTAACCCTTTGGATCTGCCTCCTCATGGCCTATGGGGTGAAAGTGGCTTTCATTGATGAATCCGAGCAATGAAGTGACTCTTGAGGTGTACTAGCCTCAGCACCGTTCATGTGGCTCACAGAAGGCATACTTTGCTTTGTAGGTAATTCTTATTCACCCTAATTATCAAAACAATGTGCTCATGTTTATTAAAATGTCTTACAGTTTATATTATTTAAAATAAGCTACATGAGACTGAGTTCTGTTCATTGAAAACTGAGATCTGGGATTGTAGGGTTGGGCCTGGAGTAAGGGAAATCACCCCCTTCAGTTCCTCTCTCACCCTCTCTCAGTCCTGTTGGGGGCTGGTTTGGATGTGGTTACTCTTGAGGCCTGAATTTTTGTTTTGAATTTCGTGGCCTGCCCTCTGCTTTCAGACCTGTCAGATGGCCTGGGGAATCTAGTGAGTGGAACCTAGCTTGCTGTTTGGCCTTCTGTGCCATGGTGTGTGTGTGTGTGTGTGTGTGTGTGTGTGTATGTGTTGGGGGAGAACTTCCTGTTTCTGACACTGGAGAAGTGGTCAGAGGAGAGCAGGAAAGATTAGGGGAATGGTCAATAAATGTTGCTGGGGACATCACAGAGATTGCTAGCCAGTTTGGGTCCCTGGTGTAGTGTGCTTTGGGCAGCACAGTCCTATTCCCACACAGCCTGGGAGGGACCTGCAATAGGCCTGGGCAAAGCTTAGGCCACCAGCAGTGTGAATGAAGAAGCAGTTAAGTCTGGGGGCCTCCCCAAGGTGGGTGCAATGAGGCATGGAGAGGAACCACCTTGAGAACGCTGACCTCTCCCTTTTCATAGTGGAATGGTAACCCTTGACCTCTCTGTTTCAATGGTGTGGGTGTCCTTAAGTAAACAGGAGCTGTGGAGTGGTACTTTGTCCTTACTTTGGAGGTCTGGCACACAGCAGAGCCCACTAATACCCTTTGGGGGCATACTACAGCTGCATTAAAGTATGTGGGTGGGGGCCTGTTGGTTTGTGCCTGTGCAAAGCCAACTCTTCCACAGAAGCTTGTGCGGCCAGAGTATTTTCTGAGCGTGCTTCCCTATTGCAACTTGAGGTCAGTCCTGAGCAGCAAGTGTGGCCCACATGGCCCCCTGGGTTCTCTGACCCTCTGAGCATCCAGACCCTTGGTCACTCCATCTTTGGCACGTGGTGGTTCCCAACAATGGCATGGGATGGAACAACTGCACGTAAGTGTTCATACCCATGGGGTAAAGGGGAGGGCTACAGAGTGAGTCCAAGTTCCCCTCTGGAGAGAGGTAAAGTTCCAAAGGGTGTGCACATGGGCGGACTTGGGGAAGGGAGGATTCTAGGCACACAAAAGGGGCTCCCACAAGCTGCGGAGGCTGGAAAGCCAAAGGGCTGAGGAAATTCGGGCTGACTACCCTGGCCGAGGTGCAGCTGGGTGTGTGTAGGCGTGTAGAGTATGAGGTTAGAGAATATGTTAGAAGAGCTGCAGTGCCAGTTTGGCAGTCTCTGAGGTTGGAGGCTGGGGGTGAGGGAATGGGGGAGGGGTTGCCATGCTGATGCCAACAAGATGCTGGGTATCTGGACTCAGGTGCTAGAGGTGTGCCTGGGGAAGGAGGGATTTGAAAACCAGACAAATGGAGACCCATGAGAGGGTTAGGAAGAGGGGTCTGTGGTGTTAGGACAGTGGCCAGTGTGGAAGACTGGCCCCTCTAGCCTGGGGAGGCCCTTGATGCTCTAGGTGGTGGTGGTGGTGTGTGTGACTGCTTTTGTCTCCCTGGAATCTGTGCCAATGGCCTTGTGCCAAAATCCTCCAAAAGTCCTCAGGATGGGCCAAGTCTGGAGTCAAGGTCAGATGGGTTCCACGAGAGAACCCTTGCGTCCAGTTTCCTCCCCAAGAAGGTTCAGGAGTTTGCCGGTGAGGGAGTCTACACTTGCCCACAGCTTCTCAGCTCCGGGTGGGTCCCGGGACTAGAGGCAGGAAATGAGCCCTTGCTAGTGCATCTCAGGCAGCCTGGCGAAGGGTGGTATCACCCCACCTGCCAGTGAGCAAACAGGCCAGGGAGGGGAGTGTCGGGTTACACGGCTTCGGAATGGCGCACACCCAGATCCCAAGCCTAGCTCTCCTCAAACAAGCAGGGGTGGGGGCCGGAAGGAGAGGCTGGCTGTTGGGGAGTCCTAAGAAAAGGCGCGGTGGGCAGGGCCAGGTGCGGAGAATAGAGGACGGGCGCCGAGGAGTTCAGGTACAGTAAGTGGGAGAGCGACTCTGAGAGCCGGGCACTGAGGGAGGGAGGGAGCGGCCGGGGCGGGAGTGGGGCGGTGGTGGCTCGGACAGGTGCCGGGCGCGGTGCTCCTAGCACCTGGGGTGCCGAGCGCCGGGAGCGCTTAGTTCCGGCCTGGGGCCGGCGCAGGTGAGGAGCCCCACAACCCGCCCTGCCTCTGTCGCTGGCCCCCAGGAGGCCTTGCCTTCGCCTCGCCCCTCCCGGTCTGGCCCTGCGCGCAGCCAGGCTGCAGGTCCCGGGGGCCCGAGGCTGCGCGCCCGCTCCGCGCGCTTCCGGCCAGTCCCGTGGCGGGGAGGGCGGCCGGCGGGGGGCAGGCGCGGAGCCCGGCCGGCGACGCGCTTTGTCTCCTTTGTTCCCAGCGGTGGCAGCGCCGCGGCAGGAGGGCGGGCGCGGGCGCGGTTTTCCGCCCTCGGTCTCCGGGTAACAGCTGCGGTCCGCCAGAGTCGCCGGGAGGCCGCCGCGCGCGGAGCCCAAGGAGCTGCGGAGGTGAGCAGGCCGGCTGGGCTGGCGGGCGGGCTGGGGCGGCCTCGGCCTGCAGTTGAGACCGCACTTGTGCACGCGAGGCGAACTCTGGCGGCTCCACCCGGAACGCGATTGGGAGACGGAGGAGGTGGAGCCGCTCTTCGCACCCCCTCCTCGCGGCCGCAGCAGCCGCCGCCGGGACGGCCGGCCCCTTTCCCGCCCTCCGCCCTCCGCCCTCCGCCCTCCGCGGACCCCGGTGGAGTCCTTGTCCCGGCCGGGGGAGGCCGGGCGCCTGGGAAGGGCCGCGTGGGAAGGTAGAGGCTGCCCCTCCAGAGCCACAGCTCTTGCAGGCTGCACTCGGCGGGACCGACAGAGGCAGAACAGTCCACACCACGAGCCTCCTGGCACACGGAGGGGTCCCCTCTCCACACACAGACCATTTGGCTGGCGACTGCTGAGCGCCTCGGGTCGTCGCGGATGCCTGCGAAACAGGGGCTCCCTTCACCCGGCTCAGCCCGAAGACAGCGGGTTGGGCAGTGTGCACCCGGCACTGTCAATGAGTAACCCGCCCCAGCGGCTAGCCTTGGGAGTGGGGCAGGAGGGTGGAAAGGAGGCCAGTTTCCCACTGGCTCCCAGACGAGGTGCAGGTGTGGAAAGGCGAGTTTGTGAGCCTCTTCGGTTGGCAAGGACAGTTTCAGGAGGGTCTGTTGGTGCTTGCTTTCTGTAGACGGAAGTCAAGCAGTCTTGGGCACTGCTGAGGAGGCCCAGAGACAGATTAGTCCAGGAGAAGCCCACCCGGCAGGCCTGGGCATGGGCAAAGTTAGAGCTGGGCTTTGGCTGTGAGCCTGGGCAGGGCCTGAGATGTGGGGAGGTGGTGGGAGGTCCTGGTTGTGCAAGTTGGGAATGAGAGGCTTGTCTCCAAATCAGCCCTTTCAGTCTGCTCTAGCCTGGCCGTTAATAAAAGTGGGGCTAATGCCTTTTCCTTTGAGAGGCCAAGTGGCCAGGTGGTGTAAGCCTCACAATCTCCTCTACCAGCCAGGTTTCCTTGAAAGTGAAATGGGGGCTCAGTGACCATGTGGGGAGTACCTAGTCTGTGCTGATGTCTGTGGCAGCTGGTGGGCCTCTGAATGAAGAGCCATACTCTCTGCTTTTAAAGAGCTTTGAGTCCATACTAGGAGGATGGAAATGGCAGAGAAATGGTCTTGGGTAGTGCCTCTAATGCTGGCACACACTCTACTGGCAGGGCAGTATGTGCTAGTCTGGCTAGGTGTGTCCAGTCCATCCACCACGCAGGTGACCTCCTCCAGAGCAAGAGAGGGGTGGGAAGGCTCCCAGGGAGATGATGGCTGGGTGTGGGGGTGAATAGGACAGAGAGGGAGTGGGCATTCCAGTAATGGGAACAGCCCTTGCTTGTGATGGCAGGGAGGAGTGGAACAGCCTTCCTTCAGGCAGGAACGAAAAGCATGCATGTGGGAGGATGTGGACCAAAGGGCTTGACCTTTATTCCTCAGGCCTGGCAGACCCCAAAGCCTCAGGAAGACGGATGCACTTCATTTCTGTTCAAAGAAAATATGGAGAGGTTGCATGTTTGTGTGTGTGTGTGTGTGTGTGTGTATGTGTGTGTGTGTGTGTGTGTGTGTGTGTGTTGGACAGCTAGGGGCTGCTCTGTGAGATGGCAGAGGTTAAGTGAAGCACATGTGTCCGGTACAGAAGAGAAAGCGTCACTGTCCTATGGTATGTAGGGAAAAAGGAAAGAGAGCTAGGTCCTGCTTCATAGGAAGACTGCAATTGAAGAAGCCTGGCATAATTCCCTGGAGTGGATCAGCCTCTGACTTCCCGTGTGTCCTGGCCAGGAGCTCTGCTGGTTCCAAACATTTCTTCCCGTGGGTTCCTTGACCCAGCTGTGATTTCACATTCAGGGAGTGGTTTTGTTGCTGTCCCTTGAGGACTGGAGAACCTTGGCATGCAGTAGGCTCTGAGCAAATATTTGCAAGCAAATTAAACACTGAATGTTGGTCTAACTATGGGACCCTATGCCCAAGGCACATCCCTGGAATGAGGGGGCAGGAAAAGTGGTCAGTAGCCAAGTGAAGGAGGTGGCCTCTGCCTATCCTCAGTTGGACCCTGTATTCCCAGAGGAAGAAATTCTCTCTAGCCCTTGGAAACAAGGTGGGGGGCTCCTGGGCAGCCTGGCTTTGCCACAGTCCTGGGCTTCTGGCTGGGTTCGAGACTTTCCCTGACACCTCCTTCTTCCCACCCCCTTGGGTGGCAAACAGAGGCAGCCTTGTTCCCGCTCCCATAGAGCTGCCCTGTTCTCTGCACACTAAAAATGGAAACCCCCAAGCTATTTTGGGAGCAGTGCCCAGCCAGGCTGTGGCCACGGCCCCCTTCTCCACAGTGTCCCTGCTCCACCAGGCTGCTGGACCTTCTCTGAGCCTTGTGCTCATCCCTGCTCACTTGGACAGCCTCAGGAGCACTCTGCTGGGATGAGCACACCTAGGAGGAGGGAAACAAGCAGGATATTCTGCAGAGAGCCTGGCAGCTGGGTGGTGGGAGGGACTGGGCAACATGGCCTGGGCACGTGCAAGTAGGGAAAGTGTCTCTCAGTCTGGGATGCATGGTTTGTCCTAGCACCTCACCAACTTTGCTGCTCCTGGTGAGGGACCATTGGGCTCTGGGGAAGGTGGTTTGCCATGGTTTCTTAGTTCTGGAACTCGAGAGCCTCAGCTGGGCAGCACCCAAAGTCTGGGGAGGTCCTTGGAATGGACTTGAGGTTGGGGGAGAGCCATGCATAATGATTTCCTCAGGACACCCTCCACTTACCCTACATCTGGTCCCTGTCTCTACTCTGATCTTCAGGAGAAGAAACATCAAAAAGATGGCCTGCCTTCCACAGCTCTCTAGCACTAAGTGTTTGAGCTAGGAAGTGTGGATGAGTCTGTCTGGTGTCTAAATATTCAAATGTGGATGGTTGTGTGGGTATGTCTCTGGTGGGTAAGTATGACATTTGCCTGTATATTATGTATGTGTAATGTGGTGTTTGTGCATAAGGGATTGTTTCCGTATAGATACGTCTTTATGTGGAATATAGGTGCCTATGTGGTATGTTTGTGTTTCTGTGTGTGTCTGCTGTGTGTACAGATTATACCTGTATGTATCTGTGTGTGTATGCAAAGTCTTGTGGGTGTATGCATGCATACTGGTTATATGCATGCATTTTGGTGTGTGTGTATATATGTGTGCGTGTATCTGTATCTGCTAGCGTGCTGGTGCCCATTTGAGCTAGGATGGGCAGCCTGGTCTCTGTGGGGGGAATATATGTGGGTGCCTTGATAGGGTAGGGTTTGAGCAGAAGATAGGACAATATAGGTACTGAGAAGAAGAGTTTTTAGAGGGGTAGGGCTGTGCCGAGGGCCTGACTGGCCCCTGCTGGCCATAAGGCTCCTTCCTAGCTGACCTTTCCCAGGCTCCATGGGTGCCTGGCTCTGTCTGCTGTCCTCCCCCTCCCCGTGTGGGCTCCGAGGAGGCGTCCTCTGTGGAATGTGTTTGGTGGCCGAGGGCCAGGCCAGGCCTGGCTGTACAGACAGGCTGGGCAATGGGGACGGGTACTTTTGTGCTGGTTCCATGGTGGAGAGCCATGCCTCTTACCCAGCCCCCAGTTTTACACTCTGCTTTCCCCTTGGGTAGGTGACTCCTGCTCTGGTCATGCTGTTGTCCCCTGATCTAGCTGGCCATCCCAGGTGAGTCTAACCTTACCCCTGGGCAAATGGGAGCACTGTGACTCCCTCCTCTGCCTAGGGTTCCCCAAGATGGGGTGCAACCTTTCAGCCCCCACCCTTCCCAGCCTAGACCGCCCGCTTTTCTGTGGCCTAGTGTTTCTGTGGTTGTCATCCTTCTGGATTCCTGGCCTAAAAGGGCCTGTGCCCAGTTCTTGCCTCAGTCTGACATCTTCTGACATCTGAGGCCTCATCTTTCCTTCTTCTTCTGGCCAGGAAACTGTCATCCATGCAGAGGGGCCTGTCCCTTCTTGGGGTTCTGGGCCTTTCCTGTCCCTTCCAGGCCCTGCTCCTGATCTGTGTGGTGGAGCTAGGTAGTATGTGGGAGGGTGGAATGGGGCTGTAGGTCTCGGGAGAGCATAGTGCCTGCAGAAAGGGGTGGTGCTGAAGTTTTCAGGGACAGTGTCTGCCCTTTCTTCCCTGGTGGAGTGTAAGCCTGAGGGCATCCTGGATTGTAGTGCTCATCTGGGCCTGGATCTCCTGCTGACCCCAAGGTTAGGAGGAGCATCTTGACAGTGGCACATACTGGTCCTTTACCAGTGACCTCAGGATGCTCTGGGGACCACATGAGCTCCACTTTACTTTTCTCCTTGCCAGGTGACCATGCCTGCCCTTGGCTCAGCTCTTCTCCAGGCGCTCTGGGCTGGGTTGGTCCTTGCCCTCCAGCCCCCTCCACCAGCTGCTTTCACTCCCAATGGCACACATCTACAGCACCTGGCAAGGGACCCCACCTCAGGCACCCTCTATCTGGGGGCCACCAACTTCCTGTTCCAGCTGAGCCCTGAACTGCATCTGGAAGCCATGGTGTCCACAGGCCCTGTGCTAGACAGCAGAGATTGCTTACCACCCGTGATGCCTGATGAGTGCCCCCAGGCCCAGCTTACCAACAATCCCAACCAGCTGCTCCTTGTGAGCCCAGGGGCCTTGGTGGTGTGCGGGAGTGTGCACCAGGGTGTCTGTGAACAGCGGCGCCTGGGACAGCTTGGGCAACTGCTGCTGCAGCCAGAGCGGCCTGGGGATACTCAGTATGTGGCTGCCAATGACCCTGCAGTCAGTACCGTGGGGCTGGTGGCCCAGGGCTTGGCAGGGGAGCCCCTCCTGTTTGTAGGGCGGGGATACACCAGCAGGGGTGTGGGGGGTGGCATTCCGCCCATCACAACCCGGGCCCTGAGGCCGCCAGACCCCCAAGCTGCCTTCTCCTATGAGGAGACTGCTAAGCTGGCAGTGGGCCACCTCTCCGAGTACAGTCACCACTTCGTGAGTGCCTTTGTGCGTGGGGCTAGTGCCTACTTCCTGTTCCTGCGGCGGGACCTGAAGGCTCCATCTAGAGCCTTCCGGGCCTATGTGTCTCGTGTGTGCCTTTGGGATCAACACTACTACTCCTATGTGGAATTGCCTCTGGCCTGCCAGGGGGGCCGCTACGGACTGATCCAGGCTGCAGCTGTGGCCACATCTGGGGAGGTGGCTGGTGGGGAGGTGCTCTTTGCAGCCTTCTCTTCAGCAGCACCTCCTACTGTGGGCCAGCCACCTTCTGCGGCTACTGGGGCATCGAGAGCCTCTGCACTCTGTGCCTTCCCCCTGGACGAGGTGGACCGGCTTGCTAATCACACACGAGATGCCTGTTACACCCGGAAGGGCCTCGCTGAGGACAAGACTGAGGTGGCCTACATTGCATATCATGTTAGTTCGTCCTGTGACCAGCTGCCAATGGTGAGTTCTGGTGTGGCCCCAGTGTTCACCTTGTCTGAGGCTATTGGCCAGGTAGTGGGGGCCAAGCAGCTGCCCAAGGAGTGAAGGGAAGCTGGTGGTAGGGTGAAGGACTGTCAGGTCAGCAGGTATTAGGTCTTCTTTGGGCCTGGGTCATAGAGGGCAATCCCACAAAGGGCATTCAGGGTGGCAGAGAGCAGTGCAGGGATGGGCTTGGACCAGGGTGCTGAAGAGGTGGTTTTGCAGAGCTGGGCTAGGAACTAGGGCAGGGGTAGATGTTGGAATGACACTATTTAGATTCTGGAGCGGGAGAGGAAGGTGAGGTTTGGGCTTGTGTGGTTGTAACTTCAGGACCAATACGGGGGAAGACACTGCTCACAGGGGAAGTGGGTCAGTGAGAAGTGCAGAGGGCCCAGGCTAGTGTGCTGGGAGGAGAGCAGACAAACTCTTGAGAGGCTTGGGAAGTGGCCCAGGAGAAAGCAGAGAACAGCACCGGGAGATGGGGGGCGTGCTCCCAGGCTAGGGCTAAGAAAAGGTGGGACCACACACTGGGGTGGGGATCAAGAGGGGAAGGAGCCTCTGGAAGCTACCCAAGGCAGCTGGAGACAAGTGCACCAAGGGAAGGCGAGGACATAGCTGTGTGAGGTATTGACCAGGGCGAGGTTGTCAGGGAGGGCTGGCAGAGAAACGGGGGTGGGAGAGGTTGTCCAGGGAGCTCGGAGGGAGCAGGGAGGTTCTCCACACAGGGCCTTCCTGATGCTACTTGCTTCCTGCAGGATACCCCGGATGCTTTTCCCTGTGGCTCGGACCACACGCCCAGCCCCATGGCCAGCCGTGTCCCGTTGGAAGCCACACCAGTTTTGGAGTGGCCAGGGGTTCAACTAACAGCTGTAGCAGTCACCATGGAGGATGGGCACACCATTGCTTTCCTGGGAGATAGTCAAGGACAGCTGCACAGGGTGAGTTCACAGGAAGTACCAGGCCTTGTCCCAGGATTTGGAGGGGATGGGGTGCTGGGGACCCAGCCCAGGAAGTTCATCTCCTGTGGTCCCTGGGCCTGGGATTTGTGATATATGACATGGCCCTCAGCCCTGGGCTGGGAGAGATGACCTGTGCCTCTCTTCCCAGGGCTGGGTAGTGTTTACCTGTGTACTCCCCTACCCTAGGCTGGCTGCAATGACCTGTGACTTCCCAGAAGAAAGTTCTTGTCTTTAAATTGCTTCTGTTATCAGTGGAGGAGGCCTTGGGTCTGTGATGGACTTGGTGCCAGACCTTGTGGTCTCTGATCTCAGGTGTACCTGGGCTCGGGGAGCGATGGCCGCTCATATTCCACACAGAGCATCCAGTGGGGGTCTGCAGTGAGCAGAGACCTCACTTTTGATGGGACCTTCGAGCACCTGTATGTCATGACTCAGACCACAGTGAGTGCCTGACCTGAGCCAGGACATGAGTGGTGGGCGGGGCCTCTGGGTGGCCAGGGACCCTGATGTGGGTGAGTGCCTGGTGTTTGGATTGCTGGCCCCAGGTCCTCTCTGCTTCATAGCTTGTGAAGGTTCCTGTGGCCTCCTGTGCCCAGCACCTGGACTGTGCATCTTGCCTTGCCCACCGGGACCCGTACTGTGGGTGGTGTGTTCTCCTTGGCAGGTTGGTGCTCTGCTGACTCCTGCCCCCACCTACCCAGCTTCATGCCCATGGTGCTCCTGTGTAATTGTGTCATTCAGGATTCCTGACTTTTGGACCTTGACCCACAACCCCTGCCCTCTGAATGGCCCCAGCCCCCTGCCATCTTCTGTCCCTGGCATCATTGCCCTGACAGGACAGATGTAGGAGCCTAGTATCAACCCCTATTTGGGGGCCATGTTCAGGGCCTTAGGATTATAGCCATCCCTGCCCTATGAATTCCTGGTGACCCTGTGAGGGTCACAGATAGATTCTGGTCATTCTCAATTAGATGCAGTCGCCGTTCTGAGTGTTCCAGGGGCCAGCACCCAGAGAAGTGGCTGTGGAGCTTCCAGCCTGAGCCAGGCTGTCTGCAGGTGGCAGCCATGAGCCCTGCCAACATCAGCCGAGAGGAGAAGCAGGAGGTGAATGACCAGAGTAGGCAGGCCCCAGTGAGGGGGGTTCTGGGGATGAGTTGAAAACCTGGATTTTTGTGTCTTGTATTCAAAGTTCTACATGGCCTTGCATAGTCACTCTTCTTTGGGCCTCAGTTTCTCTATCTGTTACTAATGCAGGCCAAGGGTATTTGTGAAGGCTTGAGGGCTGGGGGCCACTGGTGCTGTCCACACTGGGTGCCTCATAAACTTGAGCACTGGTCTGTGACCTGATGGCCAGTATGTCCTGGGCTCTCTTGATAGGTTTTCCTGTTGGTGCCAGACCTGCCACCCCTGTGGCCAGGGGAGTCATATTCTTGCCACTTTGGAGAACATCAGAGTCCTGCCTTGCTGACCAGTTCTGGTGTGATGTGCCCTTCTCCAGACCCTAGTGAGGTCCCAGTGCTGCAGAGAGGAGCCGGTGGGTGAAAGAAGGGGCCAGCCCTGTACCTGAGAGCCGCAGCCTGCTCCCATCTGGCTCCAAGGGCTGTGGTTGGGGTGAGGTGTTAGACAAAGGTCCCTGAGTTGATGGCGTTTTTTTGTTGTTTTGTTTTGTTTTGTTTTGTTTTTGAGACAGGGTCTCACTATGTAGCCTCACTGTGTAGCAGGGTGGCCTCAGACTTGCAGTGATCCTCTTGCCTCAGCCTCCCGAGTGTTGGGATTACAGGGATGCTGGCCCCTGGAACACTCTTTGAGTCCCATCACTGTCCCCAACACTGCAACTTGTCCATTTTGTGCCCCATGGGTGGTGTTTCCCAACCATGGGTTTTCCCGCTGTTCAGGGTGCCAGCCCCACTCTGCACGGTCTCTGTGGCATCTCTGGTGCCTGGCCACTCCTCAGTCTTGGTCTTCTCTTACACTTTGCAGACCATATGTCTGTGAGTGTGGAGCTCAGGTTTGGCACCGTGGTGATCGTCAGAGCTTCCCTCTCCATCTATGACTGTGTGGCAGTCACTGAGCTCCACCCATCTGCACCGTGAGTTCATCCCCAGCCCCCTGCTCTGGGGTTCCCTGTGGCGACACCCACCCCATGACTGTGCTCTGTCCAGGTGCCAGGCCTGCGTGAGCAGCCGCTGGGGCTGTAACTGGTGTGTCTGGCAACACCTGTGCACGCACAAGGCTGCGTGCGATGCTGGGCCAATGGTGGTGAGCCAGCAGGTGAGTGGGCAGTGGAATGGGCACATGGGGGCTTGGGTCCCCAGTGTGAGGATGTCTGATGGCCCGGGGGTCTGTGTGCCTGCCTGCCTGCATGAGGCTCTGTTTGAGTGCCTGAGCCATGTGTAGGGTGGACTCACTGGAGAGCAGGTGCAGATCTGTCCTGCCTGTTTTGGGAGAGGACGTTTATAGCTGACAGGCAGGAGGTGTGGCCTTTGCCTCACCTCAGCACAGACACCCCTGGAGCCAGTCCTCTGTGTTTCTCCTTTGGAGAATTAATGGGTTGTTTTTGTTTCTCTTTTCCTTGGTCTCCTTCCTTCTTAACATACCCTTTGCCTGCTCCTGCGTTTGCCTGCTGAGTGGCCCTTCCTGTCTTCCTCTGTCTGCCCCTTCAGAGCCCGCTTTTCTCCCTAGCCCCTCCTGCAAGAGACATGCCTAGTCCCCTCCCACCCACAACCCCCCAAACCATGGTCACCCCTACTTCTTACACTGTTCCTTTGGAGCCTGGGGCTCCCTCTATAACCCCAGCCTCAGATGTGTCACCTGGGGTCAGGCCTTCCCTGCTCAGTCCCTGGAGGCCATGGGCAGGACCCGGCCCCATACCTTCCCCCACCTCCACAGAGTCACCTCTCCACGAGAAGCCCCTCCTGCCCAGCTTCCCCACCAGACCTGGAAACTCTGTCCCTGCCCCCACTGACTTGGGACCTTCAGCCGTACCTGAGGACCTCTCGACCTCCCACCTGGCACCCTCAGAAGCAGCAGCAATGCCCCCTGCAGAGCCTGACCCTGAAGCCCTTTCCTCTACGGTGGCCCTGGACCAGCCCCCTGGCACTGCTCCTGCCACCACTTTCCCAGGGGCCGCTGGCTCCACGAAGCCCGCTCTGGACTGGCTCATGAGAGAAGGCGGCGAGCTGCCCGAGGCAGACGAGTGGACAGGGGGTGACGCGCCCGCCTTCTCCACTTCCACCCTCCTCTCAGGTGATGGAGACTCAGCAGAGCACGAGGGCCCTCTCGCCCCCCTCATCCTCCTGTCCAGCCTGGACTACCAGTACGACACCCCCGGGCTCTGGGAGCTGGTGAGGTCCAGCCCAGGAAAGAGGCCTTGGGAGGGGATGAGGGAAGACACAGGCCCTTCTCATCTCGGGATTCTCCATGGGGAGGGGCATGGAGCAGGGCCTTGTCCTTGGACCCCAGCAAGGCAGAAGCTGAGGACGGCAGGGTGGGCTGCACAGACTGCCCTGTTCTTGGTGCCCGCAGGGAGAGGCGAGTTGGAGGGCCGGCTCTTGTCCCTGTGTGGAGAGCGTCCAGAGCTCTACACTGATCCCTGTCTCCGTGGAACGAGAGGTCCACTTGCGTGGCCAGAATCTGCGCCTCCTGCAGGTGTGTGTATCCTGTGAACAACTGTTCTTGCAGCCCCCTTGGAGGATGACACTCTATAACCCCTGGGGAGCAGGCAGAGGGCATGGCCCCACATCTCACCCTTAGCCTACGGGCTGTGCTGGGGAACTGGGAAGCTCCTGGGGCCCAGCTCCAGAAGTTACCCCAATGGTGGTGTCTTCTGTCCCCAGGACAGCCCAGGAGACAGTGAGTGTGTGATGCAGCTGGAGGGCCATGAGGTGGTAGTGAAGGCCCAGGTTGAGTGTGAGTCGCCTCCGAATACCTGGTGCCATGTCAAGTGCCAGCAGCACCAGGTACAGACCATAGGAGCCTGGGTAGACAAGGGCACTCAGGCCATAGGCTGGCTGTTAACTGTAGCTGGCTGCACCACATTGTCCCCATCCCTGCTTTGACCCTGGAGAGGAGACTATGACTGTGCAAGCCAGTCTGATATCTAACTTGGAATCCCAGTGAATCCCTCCATTCTAGATCTGTCTCTAACCTTCCACCTTTTCACCCCATGGAATCCCTGCACCCCAACTCTGACCTCCAATGCTGTGCTCATAACTAGTCATTTTGGTCCTTTCTTGAGCTACCTCTCTCAGACCTGCTGCCTCCCCTAGCCCGACTGACCCTACTTCCACTTCTCCAGCTCAGCTATGAGGCCCTGCAGCCTGAGCTCCGGGTGGAGCTGTTTCTGCGTTGGGCCGGCCGCCTGCGTGTGGACAGTGCGGATGGGCTGCATGGTAAGCTTCCCAGAGGGGTCACATGGTGTGAAGCTGTGCAAGCTGCAGGCTGGTGGTAGCCAGGCTTTTCCAGGCCTGCCTCTCACATGTGTCCCTGCTATCTGCAGTGGTACTGTACGACTGTTCTGTGGGACACGGGGACTGCAGCCACTGCCAGACTGCCATGCCCCAGTATGGCTGTGTGTGGTGCGAGAGAGAACATCCGCGTTGTGTGGCCAAGGAGGCCTGTGGCAAGTCTGAGGCTGTAGCCACCCAGTGCCCTGCACCCCTCATCTCCTCGGTGTGTGGAAACACTGGCTTGTTCCTTCCTCACTGCTGTCCTCGGAGGGAGGGTGGCTGTGCCATGGGTGCTGGGGACCAAAAGTGGGGAGACTGGGGCTGCCTTTCTGTGCTGCAGGAAGTCAGCAGTGGGTAGAGGTGAGTAGTCCTTCTCCTGGAACAGGTGGAACCACTGACTGGGCCTGTAGATGGAGGCACTCGCGTTACCATTAGGGGCTCCAACCTGGGCCAGCATGTTCATGATGTACTAGACATGGTCAGGGTGGCTGGAGTGCCCTGTGCTGTGGATGCCCAGGATTATGAAGTGTCCAGCAGGTGAGCTGGCTGAATCCAAGGTGGGTGGGCTCTGTGGATGGCTTTCCCTTTGGGGCCTCCTATTCCCTGTCCATCTGCCTTCCCTCTCCTGTTTCCTTGATTCTGGTCCTAGTGCCTCAGTGTGGGGGGTGCCATTGAGGCCCTGGAACACCCACCTTGGGTCCTGCACCCAACTGTAGGTCTCTGGCTTGGGCTGCTTGGGGATTATTTCAGAGCTTGCCTGGGGCAAGGTTGCTGCCCAGGGCTATCTCCTGGCTCTGCTTAGGTGTTCTTGTCTGGCTTTCTGAGTGACTGTGGATATTGTTGTGGTAGCAGTGTCCTCAGTGGCTGACCTTCTCACCAGCTGACCCTCTTCCCAAATGTATCCTGGTGGGGCTGTCAGGCCGTGTGTTGTGGCACACCTGCAGAGCCAGGCCCCTCTGTCCTGAGGAGCCCAGTCTCTGGGAAGTTCTGCTCCTGTGCCAGGGCTCATAGTTTACTGAGGTATTCTGGGTCATGGTAGCCTGGTCAGTAGTCGTAGGGTCCCAAAGGTGCATACACAGGACTCAAGAAGGTGGCTCCAAGCAGCAGGGCCCAAACCTGGTTTAATGCCAGGTAATCGGATCTGTAACTTCATCCTCCAGAAGATGTCAATTCAGGAGGCTGTACATTCTGTATTTTATTTTATTCTATTTTTTTGGTACTGGGGTTCAAACTCAGGACCTTGGGATTGTGAGGCAGACGGCAGAACCGCTGAGCTAAATCCCCAGCTCTGTATTTTATTTTATTAAAAATTTTTTTTCTGGTCCTGGGGATTGAATCCAGGGGCACTCTGCCACTGAGCTACATCTCTAGCCCTTTGTTTTTCTTTATTTTGAGACAGGGTCTCACTAAATTGCCCAGGCAGGACTTGAACTTGTGATCTTCCCTAAGTGCTGTGATTATTAGGCATGTACCACTGTGCCTGGCATCACAACCCGTATTTTAAACAAGTAAACACTTTGCAAGAACACGGAGCTTTCCCAAGAGCATGTTATGATTGAGAACCTAAGGAGACTGTGACTGTTAATGATTCCAAAACCACAAGACTTACAAAACAGTTTATAAAGTAATTAAAAAATATATCCTGGCTGGAGTCTTCCCTGGGTAGTTCACATATCACTTGTTCTGTGTTTCCAGTGTTTGCAGCGACTATGATAGTGCCACAGACTCCAGCCAGTACAGGCTGAACATTGTAGAATTAATTTGCCCAGGCTCCTATTTTCTAGCTAAGAACCAGCATTTTCTTAGATTGCTCACATCTATCTCCAGATCCAACTGGAGACTTTTAGGCACTTTTTTCCAAGTGGGTGTCCTGCCTGTAGTGGTGGAGGACTTGGTGCCAGGCCCACTCATTAGCTTGGTCACCCCCACAGTCAGCTTTTACAGGGCTCCTTTGTGAATATATGTCACAACGGAGGGATAATTCCTCCTTGCTGGAGGCCTCTGGGGAACCACAAATATTTTCAGGTGCCAAGTCCTGCCATGCGCCATAGGAGATCCTTCCAAAGCGAGAGAGGATCCTGACCTGACTGGAGGATGGAGAGGAGGGATCATCTGATGGTGGGGCAGGGAGAGGGGCTCCTGGGTCACTTGGAGGGCCTCTCCATGCCATCTTGCAGCCCCTTGCCTGCCTTGTGCCCACAGTCTCGTGTGTATCACTGGGGCCAGTGGGGAGGAAGTGACTGGTGCTGTGGTAGTGGAAGTGCTGGGAAGAGGACGCGGCATCTCGGAGCTCAACTTTGCCTACCAGGTGCCTGAATCCCACACTCCAAACCGCCCTCAGCTGCCAGTGGGTCACCTTCACGGGGCTCCCTGACCCAGGGCTGTCTTGTCAGTCTTAGACTCCCCCAGCCTTTCTGCTCTGGCCTGACTTATCAGTCCTTGTCTCCCTTCCCACAGGACCCCAAGGTGCATTCCATTTTCCCAGTTCAAGGCCCCAGAGCTGGGGGTACCTGCCTTACCCTGCATGGTTCCAAGCTCCTGACGGGGCGCCTGGAGGACATTCGAGTGGTGGTGGGAGACCAGCCTTGTCGCTTGTGAGGGGTGCTTCCTCATTTTATAAAAGTCCGTGGGCCTCAGGGAGAGGGTAGAGGGGGCAGGGTGCTGGGAAGAGCAGGGGCGGGAGGAGAGCCATGTCTGCCCCATAAGGAAGTGGCCAGACCCTTCTGAACCCAGGCTGTGGTGGAGACTGAAGGCAGCAAGGGAAGTGAATAAGGCCTGAGCAAGTCCTTTGTCCCCCATCTTGTGCCTCTACCTCTTCCACTGCCCCCTCCCCTCTATAGGCTTCTGGAGCCACAGTTGGAGCAGCTGCGCTGTGAGACCAGCCCGTACCACATGCCTACCACCCTTCCTGTGATGGTGTGGTTTGGAGCCACTGAGCGGAGGCTTCAGCATGGCCAGTTCAAGTATACGGCAGACCCTAATGTCACCTCTGCTGGCCCCACCAAGAGCTTCCTCAGGTGTGGGGCCAAAGGCATGGCTGCATGGCATGTGACAGGGAGATCTTTCAACTCTACTACTGGGGGGAGTTCAGGGCTTTGTGTGGGAGGCTGCGAATCCTGTGCTGCTGGTTGGGGGAAAGGTTCATGTGGTTTGGGCTGGGGCTGAGCTAGCTGGGACTGGGCTGTGCTGTTGATCCTGGTTCTGGCAAACTTGTGTGTGGCTTATCTGCTGTGTTTCAGTGGAGGACGTGAGATCTGGGTCCGTGGCCAGAATCTAGATGTGGTGCAGATGCCAAGAATCCGAGTGACTGTGGCTTCAGGACCTCTGCAGCCTGGTCAAGGTCTGGGGCGGAGGCGCCGTGTGGTCCCAGAGGCAGCGTGTTCCCCTGGAGCTTCCTGTGGTGGACAGCATGTAAGCCACCTTGGGCCTCCCTGCCTGCATGGGGCTGGCCCTCCCTCTCCCCTCTCCCACCTCCCCCACCCCCAGCAGCCACAGTGGCTGGTCACATCTTTGCTCAGGCCCCCTTCCCATGCAGGCCCTCACTTGACCCTTCTGTCTTCCTCCACCAGTTTGAGGAGCCTTGCAATGTGAACTCCTCCCAGCTCATCCTGTGTCGCACACCTGCCCTCCCTGGCCTGCCTGAGGACCTCTTGGTTCAGGTGGAATTTATCCTCGATAATTTGGTCTTTGACTTTGCAACACTGAGTCCCACTCCCTTCTCCTACGAGGCTGATCCCACCTTGAAGCCCCTCAACCCTGAGGACCCTACTGCACCATTCCGACACAAGCCCGGGAGTGTGTTCTCTGTGGAGGTACTTCTCCTCCTCAGCATAGCTGGGCCTCAAGGCTCTCCTTTTGCAAGACAGCACTGCACATGCAGTGGAGAGGCCAGAATGATAGAGCAGGGGCCGGGGGCTGTTAGTGGTGGGGCTCCTGGGAGGGCTTTTTGTAGTGGCCTGGGTCCTAACACTCCACAACAGGTGTCTGCACAACAGTGAGTAAGTGGTCTGGGACACACAGTCGTAGGCGTTGTGGTACACAGCAGGTAATGGGCTAATCCTTATGTGGTGGCCTGACATGAGGCATATGTTCTGGCATATGTGGTACATAGAGGTAGGCACTGGGACAGGCTGGGGCCAGACAGTTTTCTAGCCACCTGAGGGCCGTCTTAGTCAGCAAGGGTTTTGGTTTTGTTAGGTAACCAAGATTTGGTTCTCTAGTCCCCTGCCCACTCTTGGTACTGGAGACTGAATCTAGGGAACACTGAGCTATATCCCCAGGCTTTTTTAAAAGTTTGAGACAGGGTTTCACTAAGTTGCCCAGGCTGGCCTTGAGCTTGTGGCAGGTTCTATAGATTTTTAGCTCTTCAGAAGAAAGGGAAGGCCAGAGTAGAATCATGTGGAGCAGCCTAGTGGACATCTCTGGGACCGCTGGTCCCAGCTCAGGGGAAGCAGTACCAAGGGACTGCCAGCCCTGCCAGCCCTGCTCCTGAGGGTGGGTCTCAGGATCAACCTTCCCATGCTTGGGGTTAGGATTTCAGTGGCCACCAGCTCCTTGGGAAAAGTTTTGAATAACAGATTTGTGACTCTGTATTCCAGGGAGACAATCTGGACCTTGCAATATCCAAAGAGGAGGTAGTGGCCATGATAGGAGATGGCCCCTGTGTGGTGAAGACACTGACCCGGTACCACCTGTATTGTGAGCCCCCCATGGAGCAGCCTTTGCCATGGCATCATACCCTCCGGGAGGCACCTGACACTTTGCCTGAGTTCACGGTCAGGGGGCCGGTCCTGGGGAGGGCTGGGTGTTGGGGACATGCTGAATCCTCTCACAGGTGCTCCCTACACAGGTGCAGATGGGGAACCTGCACTTCTCCCTGGGTCATGTGAAGTATGATGGCGAGAGCCCTGTGGCCTTTCCTGTGGCAGCCCAGGTGGGCTTGGGGGTGGGCACCTCTCTTCTGGCTCTGGGTGTCATCATCATTGTCCTCATGTACAGGTGGGTGCAACAGATGTGGCTGGGTTGGGCAGAATGGGACTGGCTGGGGAAGGAGCAAATTCAGTCCTAGCTGAGCAAACATTTTCTCTAAAGGCGAGAGAGTAGGGCTTTGCAGAGCTTTGGAGGCAGAGTGGTCTCTCTCAAAACCCCTCAGCTTTGCCATTACATATAAGAATAGCCATGGGTAGTATGTAAACACACGAGCATGGCTGTGCTCTAACAAATCTTTGCTTATAGAAATAGGTCACAGGCCAGGTTTGGCATTGTTATAGTTTGTGGGTTCCTGGATGCATTTGTGCTGCGTAGATGGGGATAGGTGGATGTGGCATTTTGGGATGGGGCAGGGTGAATTGTTCTGGGTGCAGGCCTTGTCTTGGCTGGGCTTTACCAGATTAGGGTGTGCCGGAAGGGGTTTTTTTTTTTTTTTTGGTACCGGAGATCAAACTAGGGACCTTGCACTTGTGAGGCAGGCAGCGGAACCACTGAGCTAAATCCCCAGTGAGGGTGTGCTGAACAAGGTCAGGCTATACCTAGGTCAGAGTTAGGAAGGTCTAGGCCACATGGGACCCAGCAAAGGCTTTGGCCTCCTTTGGCCTTCCCTTCCTGCCCTTGGTGCTGAGCAGGAGGAAGAGCAAGCAGGCCCTGAGGGACTATAAGAAGGTTCAGATCCAGTTGGAGAATCTGGAGAGCAGTGTGAGGGACCGCTGCAAGAAGGAATTCACAGGTGAGGCTCCCAGTTTTCAGAATTTAGTCCAAAGCTGCTCCCATCATATGGAATGGGCATTGAGGCTGGCCTTTTCTGCCCAACAGACCTCATGACTGAGATGACCGATCTCACCAGTGACCTTCTGGGCAGTGGCATCCCCTTCCTTGACTACAAGGTGTATGCAGAGAGGGTCTTCTTTCCCGGCCACCGGGAGTCACCCTTGCACCGGGACCTTGGTGTGCCTGAGAGCAGGCGACCCACTGTGGAGCAAGGCCTGGGACAGCTGTCCAATCTGCTCAATAGCAAGCTCTTCCTCACCAAGGTGCTGCCCCACCCCTCAGCAGGACCACCCACTCTCTTGGCCCAGTCCTTCTCTGTCCTGCTGTTTCTGAGTCCAACCTCTCATGGTCTCTTCTGACCCAGTTCATACACACGCTGGAGAGTCAGCGCACCTTCTCAGCTCGGGACCGTGCCTATGTGGCATCTCTGCTCACTGTCGCCCTGCATGGGAAGCTTGAGTACTTCACCGACATCCTCCGCACCCTGCTCAGTGACCTGGTAGCCCAGTATGTGGCCAAGAACCCCAAGCTGATGCTGCGCAGGTCTGTATAGCTGTTGGGGCTGTGTGGAGAGTGGACAGCTAGAGCCAGGAGCTAAGGTGGGGCCTTGGGTCTGAGGTCTGCCCCATAGAGAGTTCCACAGCCCCAGTGCTGACACTGGCTGCCCCTCTCCTGTTGTCCTAGAACAGAGACTGTGGTAGAGAAGCTGCTCACCAACTGGATGTCCATCTGCCTCTATACCTTCCTGAGGGTAGGTAAGGGAGGCAGAGGCCGACAGAGCTCCTGTCCTGGGCGGGTTGGGCCCCTAGCAGCTTGCACATTCAGTCCAGAGTACAGGCCCTGCCTGCCGTGTCCTTGGCCATCTTCGGCCTGCATCTTATACCCTTCCCCAGCATGCATCACATCCCATACACCTCTGGCATTTGCGGGGACCCTAACTGCCTGCACCCCTCCCCCCAGGACTCAGTAGGGGAGCCTCTGTACATGCTCTTCCGAGGAATTAAGCATCAAGTGGACAAGGGGCCAGTAGACAGTGTGACTGGCAAAGCCAAATACACCCTCAACGATAACCGGTTGCTCAGAGAGGATGTGGAATACCGACCTCTGGTGAGGGTGTGCCTGTGTGTGGTCTGTAGGATCAGTCTCCTGTTGGGGTCCCAGCTTCCAGGGTCTATGCCTAGATAGAGCCAGCTTGGCCTCTGGTTGCCCACTGGAGAGAGGCTTTGATTTGTTTATTTTTGGCGGTGCTGAGGATGGAGCCCAAGGCCCCATGCATGCAAGGTTTCACCTGAGTAAAGAAAGGCTTGCACTTACTCACGTGCTCCACCATTCACTCTGCACTGTGCTGGGTGTTGGGGTCACTGTGGAGCAAGCTGCTGTCCTGTGGGGAGGCAGGCAGGTGGAAAGACAGAATTAGGATTGCTGGGTACTTGGGGGTCAGATGGTTTCTCCTGGGTTGTTCCTGCCCTTGGCCTTATGTCTTGGTCATCCTGAATGTGATTTGGTCCCTGACCACATTCCTGTGTCCTGTGTAGACCTTGAATGTGCTGTTGGCGATGGGGCCTGGGACAGGAGAGTCCCAGGGTATGCCTGTGAAGGTCCTGGACTGTGACACCATCTCCCAGGCCAAGGAGAAAATGCTGGACCAGCTTTATAAAGGAGTGCCTCTTGCCCAGCGGCCAGACCCTCACACCCTGGACGTTGGTGAGGACCTGGAGGCAGGGGCCTGGGGACCTGAGATGGTGTTGAGCCTGGGTTGGCTTGTCCCTCGGGGTGGGTGGGATATTGAGAGTTGGGACAGAGGCTGGGTCTGGAACACTTTTCTCAGACAGCTGCTCCCCTAGACTGTGGAGGGATTGGGTATGGCTACCCCTGAAGGAGGGGCTGTGTCCCTGGGCCAAGCCCCTTTATCTTTACAGAGTGGCGGTCTGGGGTGGCTGGTCACCTCATCCTCTCTGATGAGGATGTCACTTCCGAGGTCCAGGGTCTGTGGAGGCGCCTGAACACTCTGCAACATTACAAGGTGGGGAAGGTAGGGGTGGGAGGAGGGATGATGGGCTGGAGCTGGTGGAGGGATCACCAACTGTGGTCAGCAGGTCCCAGATGGAGCAACTGTGGCCCTTGTCCCCTGCCTCACCAAGCATGTTCTCAGGGAAAACCAGGATTACGTCCCTGGAGAACGTGAGTACCTCCCCCAACCCCCATTGTGGTGCTCTACTCTTGTTTGCCCAGTCCTAGGTAATGTGAGGAGGTCCTTTGGAGCCTGGAGTGTGGGGTTGTGCCTATTTCCTTTCTACCCAGAGATGCCTCAACCAGGTGCCCCTGTTCCTGGGAGAGTTGGCGGGACCCAAGAGGTCCAGAGAACATAGCGTCTGATGTGGGGTCTTGGCACAGGGACTCCAATGCTGGAAGATGTAGATGAGGGAGGCATCCGGCCCTGGCACCTGGTGAAGCCAAGTGAGGAGCCAGAGCCACCCCGGCCTCGGAGGGGCAGCCTTCGGGGTGGGGAGCGGGAGCGAGCCAAGGCCATCCCCGAGATCTACCTGACTCGCCTGCTGTCCATGAAGGTGGGATGGGGGAACTGGCTGGGGCTGGTGGGAGCAAGATGGGAGTGGGGGCTGGGTGTGGGGCAGTGGCCACTTGTGGGACTTGGGAGTGGTGTAGGGCTTGCTGAGGCCAGACTGGTGCTGGGGTGCCCTTGCTAACCATGGGTCTCTGCTTCCCCTCTTCCTGCAGGGCACCCTGCAGAAGTTTGTGGATGACCTGTTCCAAGTGATTCTCAGCACCAGCCGCCCTGTGCCTCTGGCTGTGAAGTACTTTTTTGACCTGCTGGATGAGCAGGCCCAGCAGCACGGCATCTCAGACCAAGACACCATCCACATCTGGAAGACCAACAGGTGGTCTGAGACTAGGGGCGGGGCTCGGAGCATGCATGTGTTGGGGTCTTCCCCTCCTGCCTCTCCAGCATGCTCATCAGCCATGTCCTCCCCCCGCCCCCCAGCCTACCTCTGAGGTTCTGGATCAATATCATAAAAAACCCGCAGTTTGTGTTCGACGTGCAGACGTCTGATAACATGGATGCGGTGCTCCTTGTCATCGCACAGACTTTCATGGATGCCTGCACCCTGGCTGATCACAAGCTGGGCCGGGTGAGCGGCTGGGGTGGACACAGCCAGGAGGGTGGTGGGGGAGGATGGCCTGGGCTGGGGATGGAATGTGCTCTGAGTGCAGTCTCCAAGCTCTTCTGAGTTTCAAGGAGCAAGGTTTGGAAGGACAGAGGGTTATGGGAGGTCTCTGACCTAAGGTGTCTCCAGGTCAGGCCTTGTTTAGGGTCTCTAGAAGTTGGCAGTGGGTCATTCTTAAGGGATGAGCTAGAGCAGCGGGTGCCTTGTGCTGTGGGCAGCATGTGCAGCCTGGTATGGCTGAGTAGATAGAGCGCTGGCAGCCCATGGCAGCAAGCCAGGGCCACTTGGCGAGGGCTCACCCTGAGAGTAGAGTGGATGGAGCTGTGCTAGCCTGTGAACAAGCAGGGGCCAAGTGCAAGCCCACAAGAGGGCACAGGGCAGGCAGAAGCTGTAGACTGGATGCAGAGCAAGGAGGAATTCATATGATCCTGGGGTCTTTGGCTGTGGTGAGCTCAGATACAGAGAGGGTGAGTCTGTGGTATTTGTGGGGCTACCAGGTGGTTTCCAGTGGAGACATGGATTCTCCAAGCTCAAAGCAGCCTCAGGCTACTTGGTGGATTTGGTTCCTTAGGGTAGGGGGTGTCTTTCTCCCAGTGGAGTGGAAGTGAGGCGCGTATAGGGGAGAGCCAAGTTTGAGGGAAGCACAGAGATGTGTTCTGAGTGGTCTGGCAGCACTGAGATTGGGAGTGTACGGTTAGGATAGTAAAGGCCCAGAGTCCATGGCATCTGGGGTCCCCAGTGTATCTGCTCAGCCACCCAGCAAGCAGGGCCCTTGTGGCTCCACAGATCTATCAATGGGGCTCTGCTTAGATCAGACCCCTGGGCCACATACCTCCAGACCTCTATGAAGAAGAAAAATGGAAAGTTTCACCTTACAGCATTCTTTCTGGAGCCATTTTTATTTAATCATTCTGCCTGTGATGAGCTGACAATCACACCAGGACCCATGGGGCTGCCTCCAGGAATGGATGCTATGTGGTGGCTGGTTTTTTGCCAGGGCTTTGTACTGTTTCCCTTTCCTGGCAGAACAGCAAATCATTCCTGGATAGCTCAGAAATAGTCCAAACCAGAAATGTCAAGGGTACCCTGTGGAGATTGGGGAGAAAGTACGCACCTCTCAACTCAGGCTGGGAGGTGACCTGGACATATGTCCCTGTTCTTGCTGGGGTAGTACCACCTCAACCTTTCTGCCTTCCCCACAGCTTTAGCATGAGGCAAAGGTCCCAAGAGTAAGAGCATGCTGCCTAAAACTTGAAGCTGCTGGGACTTGAACCCAGTGTGTTTGTAGGGGCAGTGTCTGGTTATATTAAAATTGTGGGCTCTGATTTAAGAGACCTTCTTGAAATCCTAGGTCAGCCATTGGCGAGTGAGGTGGTCTAGGGCAACTTAAATGATTTTCTGGGCCACAGCTTACTGAGTTTTAAAATGATTACATGGAGAGTGAACACTAGACATCTACCCTGTGAGTCATGCCCTCCTTGCCAGCTCCAGATGGAGGTGGATCTGAGCACATAACAAGGGAGGAGCCTGAGTTGAGGACCAGAGACTGGACATTTGTCGGGGAGGGAGTGGAGAAAGTTCCTGCAAAAGGAAGTGGATTGGGCTGACCAGCCATACCTATTTGCTGGGTCTGAAGGATTCCTGGGATGTGGAACCTTCAGTTTTAAAACTGAAGCACTCTACCATAAAGAAGGATAAATGAGTCATTTGTAGGAAAATGGATACATCTTGACACCATAATGTTAAGAGAAGTAACTCAGGCACCCAAAGTATAAATAGCAAAATCAAAGAAGTAGGAAGTAGGAAGTAGGGAGATAGATCTTTCTCAAAGGGGGAGGAGATCAAGAGATGTAGGGGGTAGGGGGAGGGAGGGGCGGAAAGGGGATGAAAAAGAAGTTAAGATGTGCTATGTACAGACACCAACTCCTCACAAGGAGTGTAAACATTGTGTACTGCAAACGTGTACTAATAAACATAAAATGAAATAAAATAAAACTGGAACAGGTCTTGGAGACCTGGAGAGCTGATCTCTCTAACAGGGGATCTCATCTGTTTTCTCTTGCACTGCCCTCCTGTGTGTGTCCAGGACTCCCCCATCAACAAGCTTCTGTATGCTCGAGACATTCCCCATTACAAAGGGATGGTGGAAAGGTACCAGGGAAGGCAGCGGAACTTGAGGGGCTGTTGGGTGGTGGTTGAAGTGTACAGGCAGCTGAGGCCTGTTGGGCCCTGGTGAGGGCTAGGGAGTGTTGGGTTTGTTTACCCAGCAGCTGCTGTCCTGGATTTTCTGGCAGGTACTACGCAGACATTAGACAGACCGTTCCAGCCAGTGATCAAGAGATGAACTCTGCCCTGGCGGAGCTTTCCCGGGTAAGGCTTTGGGGTGGAGCACAAGCTGCCTGCCATAATGGTCCTGCCTCCTTCACACTCCTGCCCCAGCCAGCTCATGGGGCTCTTTGTAGGGGAGCCTTTGGGTCCTTAGCAGCCCCATGAGCTGGTTGGGGCAGGACACACACCATCATTAACACAGTCTTCTTTCCACCTACTGCTGTCAAAGGCTAGGGGTCCCAACGTCTCATCATAGAGCAAACAGGGGCCTTGTCTTGACAGCTACCATCAAATGTGACTCAGCGAGGGCCTTAGTGCCTGCATCCCTCATTGGGTCTGTGGAGTGGCTATGATTGAGCTCCAGGCCTGCTGGCTTCTGCTTACCCATGCTTTCCCATGCTTGGTTACCTCACTGGGTACATATGTTCCCACCTACTCCTAAGACAGCCCCGAGTGTTAAATTCAGGAATTCATGAAGGGCATTTCTGAAATGATGATGATAACCACAACCACACTGCTAACAGAAGCTGTGCTTTTTGGTCCTACTGTGTGTCAGGTCCTTTACAGGGTACTGTTCTTCATTTGGTCCTCCTATGAGCTGCACAAGTCAGGTGGTATTGACTCCATTGTCCAGAGGAGGAGCTGAGGTTCAGAGATGTCTGCATGGAAAGGAATAGTTGAATGAGATCATAGCAGAATTACCCTGGGCCCACACCCTGCAAGTGGCATCTGTCCCACTTGACTGGTCACCTGGGATGGCAGAGGGGCCACGCTAGAGTCTGATGGGGAGAGGGTGGTAGGATCCCAGTGGAAACTCAGGCCCTGGTGAAACTATAGACCCGGGGTCTCATCCCACTAAGGAAGCCCCTCTCTTTTCTGGCTTTTCTTGGTGTCCTGGGCCTCCCCCTGTGGCTGGTTGCACCCCTCATCTCTTTCATCTCTTATCTGCCCTCCTCCCTAGAACTATTCTGGTGACCTTGGGGCACGAGTGGCGCTGCATGAACTCTACAAGTATATCAACAAATACTACGATCAGGTGGGCAGACCCTGGGTCCTGATTAGGAGGCTCACCTCAAGGGACCTCCTAGAAGGCTCGGGACAAATTATGAGGGGATCTGGGTTGGTAACTCAGGTTGGGGGGCCTTTGCCTCTCCCCTAGGCACTGAGGAGGAAAGAGGCTAGGCCCCTTAGCAGTTTGGGAAGTGTCTTTGGCATGCTTTCTGGTGTTGGCTCCATTCTTCCCTGTCCCCACCATCCAGTCCCTCAGCAAGACTCCCAGCATGGTGGTAGTGGTTGTTGGGGGAGGGCTACCAGGACCTGGAGATGGTTGTTGGGATGTGCTAGAGGACCATACAACTGCCACCTCTTCCCTGACCATGCCCCTACTCAGTCCCTACCAGGTTCTAAGGTTGGAGGTGTGTTGGGCATGGCCCTCTCTGTGGGGATAGTCCTGGCTGGGCCATGTGAATCATGGGAGGAATGGGTCCAGGCCCATAATGGTGGGTGAGGGGTCTTTCTCAGGGACCCCTGGGCTGTGAGTACCTAATGGAATTGTCCATTCGAGTTTGTGTGGTACCAGTGATGTGGCTGTTTCCTACTGGATGGCAGTTTAACACTTAGTGGATCTGTGAGTGTGAAGTCTGGGCTGTGCAGCCTTGCTTGGCGTGGCCTGGCCACATCACAGGGCAGGCAGGGCTATGACTCAGTCACACTGTCTTGCAGAGAGGGATAGGAGCTGCTGCCCTTCCAGTCTCCACTCATTGCCTCAGAGACAGCTCTTATTTGTGGTTTTGTAGTTGTTTGTGTGGCTTAGTAGCTGTCTCATACCACATCTGTCTGGTCATGTTGGGTCCCTGCTCCCTGCAGTACTGGTCACACAGGGGCTGAGGAAGTGCTGCTGGTTGGCAGGCAGTGGGCTGGGAGGCCTGTAGCAGGGCTCTGCAGCGCTAGCATTGAGGCTAGGGTGTGTGCAGGCTGGCCTCCACTCGGAGTGGCTTTCCTAGTGAGTGGATATTCAGTTGTTGCCACCAGTGCCAGGTACTGTATGTCACTCCATACCTCACTAATCCTTCAAATCTCATCATTCTTTCTTTTACCACCTCCCACCAGTGAGACCCTGAGGTCACACTGGAAATCAGTGAGGCTCCTACCCCAATTTGTGTTCCAGCATCTCGGGAGCCAGGTGAAGTCTGCAGTGACCACGTAGGCCAACGCAGTCTCCCCTGATGGTGTTGGTGTCTGCATTTCAGATCATCACTGCCCTGGAGGAGGATGGCACAGCCCAGAAGATGCAACTGGGCTATCGGCTCCAGCAGATCGCGGCTGCTGTGGAAAACAAGGTCACGGATCTGTAGAGACCTGGGAGCCCTGGTCTGCTGTTGCCTTCACCCTGTCGGGGCAGCCTTGGAACCTTGAAGGAGAGACCACCGTCTTAGATGCCTATAGTGACTGACAAGCAGAGTTAGAGAAAGGTGGCTCCCAGTCTCCTTGTAGCTCTGGCCTGAGCGCTGTTGGACCATCTTATAGGCCTGGGGCCTTGAGGCCCATAGGGCAGTGCCTGGCCAGGTCTGAGCCCAGTGACCCTGTGAGCTACTTCCTGTGTGACACCAGCCTACAGGGAGTTGGGGATTAAGTGCTTCCAGAGAGTGGCTGGAAGGGCTTCCAGGCCCCTGAGGAGACTGTACTGTTTGTGAGCACTGGCCTTTGTCCTGCCAGGATACAGAGAGGAAGGAAAACCTTCCTATTTCTTGTCTTCCTCTTTCATCCTCCTTGAACTTGGTTCAGCTTCCTCTGTCGCTGCTGCCACCTGCAAGAGATAAATGCCATTTCTAGGTCACTGCACACTGACCTCTCAGGTGGGCTGGCTACCTCAGGCTACCCAGCCTCCCAGGCAGCACTAGGTACCCTGTGTGAGGGGCATGAGCTGCAGGGGGCCCTTGAGGAGAGGGTGGCCTGCTCACCCAGCTTGTCATTAAAGGATAACACACTGCATCGAGTCTGATGTATGGGCCACCCAGCCCTCCCCTAGTATGTGGGAGGCAGCTGTGCTTAGCAGGCACCTGGGGGAGGCTGACTGTGTATGTGGAGGGGTCTGGCCCTCATGAAGGTCCCCCACTGCAGGGCTGGCTGGCTGTCCTTGGCTCCAGGGCATGTCCAGGGAAGGAAGTGAGAGCCCCATCCAGGACAGGGCTGGGGGAGGCCTGTGACTCAAGGTGGAAGGGTCCAATGTCTCTTCAGGGGCCCTACCTGTCTGCAATTTGAGGGTTTTACTATCTTCACTCATATTCCATTTGTTTTGAAAGGAGTTGGGGCAGGATGGCACCATGGCAGGCACCTCCAAACAGTGTGGGTTTTTTCTATGGTCCTGTGTCTGGACCCCTGGTTTCACTACTTTCTTCCAAGTCAAGACATCTTAGGGCAGGGGTTCAACCCAACGGCCTGCCTGCATGAAGGCACCTTGTGTGTTTTTCCCCATTTGTAGATGGAGGTGAGTTTTGAGACTGTTTTAGTGGGGTCTCACATTGCTGTTGGATCAGTAAGGGTGGGGGCTGATGCTCTTTGAGACTACCCTTGGCATCAGCAGGCCAGACCCTCACCGAACAGAAGCGAGATGAGGGCCCTTCAGGTGAGGATCCCGAGGAGGCTCAGCCCTTTTGCTCTTTGCTTACTCCCCATTACCCAGTGACCTCCACCCCCGCCTCCCTTGCCCTCTGTCTAGAACCCTTAGCCTCCCCTTGAGTGTTTGAAGAGACAGATGGTGATACATTTCCAGGGAGAGTTCTTTCTTCCTCTTCTTGGCTCTAAAGCAATCTGCAAAGTCTTTGTCCCTAAGATAACAGGAGTCACACAGTTGGTCTTGTTCATCCATGTTAGGGGGAGTCACAGCTGCTCTTTTGTGCTGGCTCTAATGACCCTACTCCATTTCTGCCAGATGTGGGGACTACAGTCAGGTGATGTCATTTAGGAGCATGTGAACTTTAGTTCTTTGAGTGCTCCAGGTAGGACTTTTTCTTTTCTGTTTTTTTTTTTTTGGTACCGGGGATTGAACTCAGGACCTTGCAATTGTGAGGCAGGCAGCAGCACCTCTGAGCTAAATCCCCTTTCTTTTTGGTACTGAGGATTGAACCCAGGGCTCACACATGCTAGGCAAATGCTTCACCATGGAGCTACATCACCAGCCTTTTAAATTTTTTTTTTTTTCAAGACAAGGTCTTGAAAGTTGCCCAGACTGGCCTCAAACTTGTGATCCTCCTGGTTCGGCCTCCAAGTAGCTAGAATTACATGTGTGTACCACCACACCAGGCCCAGCTAGGTTTTTATAGTCACTCGAAATGGTAATGAATTTCCACTGGTGGCTCTGGCAAACTATGGAGTTGACAGTCTCAGGGAGCAGGGCCAATGGGGAATTAGCCCAGGGTGGACTTGAGCAGGTACAGAGGGAGACAGCCTTGGTCGACACCATAGGGGCTGTGCCAGCTGTGCTGCTGTGCCAGGCTCTGGTGTTGAGGGCTCCCTGCAGAGGAGGGCCAAGTCCTGCATGCCCGAGCCTGTGCACATGGGAGCATAAGTGCTGAACATAATCTAAATCACACTCATCTCTCCCCTCACAGAACATTGTGGTGATAAAAGATGTAAAGGAGCTGGGCATGGTGTTGCACACCTGTAATCCCAGCACTTGGGAGGCTGAGGCAGAAGGATCCTTGCACGTTTGAGGCCAGCCCGGTGTACATAGCGAGATCATGTCTCAAAAAACCAAAAATAAAACAAAACATGTAAAGGAGGGAAAAAAACCCACCACAAAAAGATAGGAAACTTCACTTAGTTGAGTGGAGATGCCAGCACTGACAGGAGTTTGTGGTTGTTCACTTGGGTTTACGCCACAATTTCACTGTAGAAATTTGTGATTCAGTTTGACCAATCTTTTCTCACCAACATTGCAAAGGTGCAAACCTGTTAGCATATAGAGCTGATGTTTCCCATCATCTGAGGCTCCTTGAGGACTTTATGGAATGACTTGGTTTCTTAAAGTAGCTTTCACTAATTTAAATATTGGAGTAATTGTCCAAATGGTTAGAAGATCAAGGAGTATTTTCATTAACTTGTTGATGTTGAAAAAATCATGTGCTGGTCAGTATAACAGCTGAATTTGTGATAATAAATGTTGGAATCATCGTGGAAGGCACTGGAAGCTTGGGATGGGCAGAAGGACCAATGCCAACAGGTGGCCTCCTCACCTGTGCTGGGGGTCATGGAGTGGGCCTGCTGCCCAGGCTTCTCTGTTGGGCACCGATGCCTATTGCTGTTTATGCTTTACCCACCAGGGTCCTGGAGGGTAACTCAGTGAGGAACAAACACCCCAAAACTGCCCCCAAACTGCCTGGGACAGCTGATTGGCGATGATTCATGGATCTCTCCTTAAAAGTGTCCTAACAAACAATGATGGTTAATCCAATTCCAAATTTACCAAAAACTGGAGACAAGGATGTTGCAATGATGTTTGAAAAGGAACTTCTTGCTTGATTGTAAAGTTGAGGTCCTTTTTACAAGTGTTTGGATTATCTGGCTGATAACACGTATCAAAAACTGATCTGGGGCTGTCTGTGCCCTGTAAAGAACCTACATGGTTAGGAATATGAAGCTCAGATCACTGAATCCACTGCTGGTGTCCAGGCCTCAGGTAAGTTGGAAGAGTGGATGCGATGGTTACTGCCATCTTCTGGCCATTTTGTGGAATTACCTATAGAGCATGCCTATAATCTCAGCACTTGGAGACAGAGGCAGGAGGGTAGCAAGTTTGAATCCATCTCGGGCAACTTGATAACTTAGTGAGACCATATCTCAAACTTAAAAATAAGAAAAGGGCTGGGGGTGTAGTTCAGCGTGAAGGCCCTGGGTTCAATCCCTAGTGCCACACACAAGCTATGGAAGTGCTTGTGTCTGGAACTCTAGAAAATCACCATGGGATGCTGAAGTGCTCAGGCTGGGCTCTAACATGAATTCTGGTCATTGAGTGGGCTACATGAAAAGACAATTGTAACAGTGAGTGGCCAGTCAGGAAAACAAAGTGCTCTTGGTGTCCTAACAGGGAGGGAGCTTAACCTGGTTACACAAGTGTTGGAAGGGCAGAAAGTAAAGTTACCCAGATTAGTGGCTCCGGGAGACTTTGACACCTCTAGAACTGGCAAGCGGGGGGGGGGGGAACAGTGTCACCCCACTTTCTACTGCTCTGTGGCCAGCGCCTGGGAGAAGCCAGGAGCTGAGTAGATGGTGGTTGGGGACCTCATGCCCTGGCCCACCCCCTGGGCCATGCATTGAGGATCAGTGTCACTGGACCCTCTGTTGCCACAATGAATGCATGCTACCAGGAAGTGGATTCAAGCCCGTCTTAGGATCCCACCTCCAGCCCAGACTTGACTTTTCCCCAGATATCTGGCCCCAGGACCAGGGAGGGGACTGACAGGAGCCCTGCTCTGGGAGACAGGAGACTTGGGTTCTAGTTTCTCCTCCCTTGCCTGGTTGAACCTCTGGGGAGAAGAGCAAAGAATTCTGGCATGTAGTGGGACCCACTCTATACCCTTGGCATGTATTCCAAGCTACTGCCTGGTAGGATTTAATGAAGAAATATTTAAGTGATACATCTGTCCAGCTTCTGGAAAGAAGCTGATGACATGTGCCAGAAATGATGTAGGTGGAAGACAATTCAACTACTTACAGAGCTGTGGGCAAGTACTGCCCTTACCCAGTCTGGGCATGAAGGGGTGAAGGGGCAGCCCTTGGAAGAGGAAGGCAGTTGCTCCTGGCCTGCAGCAGGATGATGAGAGGATAACAACCTCGTCTCCTGCTCCTCTCAATGTCACCTTATCTAGGTGACCAAGGTCCTGAGAGCCAGAGGATGGGGATCAACTTCTGAAGTGTAGAGCAAGGTGGAAAGCGGGCAGATGGCACAGCCAACTTGAACACCTGCTACCTTGGGAGGCATCTAGTAGGCACTTTGTCATGCAAAGTCACAGTTCTTGCCAAGGGAGCAGTTGGTTGGTTCCCTGCCTCACAGCTAGTAGGACTTCCCCCACACCCAGTGTCCCTGTGCACCTTGGGAGGTGCTGCACATACTACTGAAGGAACTCAGAAGGCTTGAGGGGGCCTCTGCCTCCTCTCCAAGCTGGTGGGATGCTGGGTGTGCAGTAGGCACCAAAGGAAGACCCCAAACTTCAGGCCATGGGAGACAAGTTCTCTGTCTACATTCTTATCTTAGGGTAGAATTTGACCAGGGCAAGGTATGGGCCACCACAGAGATACGGAGGCCAGGGTGCCTGTTTTCCTTACATCACCAAGGTGTGTGCAGGTGTTCCTCACCTGTGCCCAGCTCAGGCTGCTCACTGTACTTGTCTGTGTGTGTGCTTGTATTTGTGCATGTGTTTGTGTATGATGTGTATGGGTGTGTGGGATTTGGAAGAAAGGCACACTGATCGAAAGTCCTGGTAGTACATCGGGAGAACCCCAGTTTGGCCTGGCTCTGATCACCTTGAGACAATTGACTCTTCTGAGCCTCAGTTCCCTCTTCTATATGATGCAGTCCTTAACCACTAATTCAGAGGAGGCCTCCCAGGAAAGCTGTCACTGGAGGGGAAGGGCCCTGGTGACTCATGGCATCTAGAGCCTGGGTGTAAGAGCTGGCCATCCACTAGTGAAGGGTGAACTGGGCAGTACCTGGGGCTTTGTTGGAAGAGAAGAAAGGGAGGGGGCAGCTGACCTCTCCTGGGCCTCAGTACCTTGCTGTGTACTGCTTAGGGAGGCCTCTGTCAAAGGGCCTCTTCATCTGAACTAAGTCTGTGAATTGGAGGCCAAGGATGAAGAACAGATCTCTGTTTCCCTTAGCATGCCCGACTCCATATTTACCTTTACCTGGTGCTTTTCTTTCACCATCAGGTAAAGTATGTTTCCTTTCATTACTGTGAGTTTGGGGATCTGCAGCAGCAGGGCCTTTGGGCAGCTCCTTCTCCATCCTGTCCATTGTGCAATATGCCAGGAACTACACTTTGAGAAATGAATCAACCGTAAGAACAGCCTCAAGAAATGATGGTCTTTGAAAATTAATCATTTTTTCTTGAGATTTGCAGAACTGAAAACATCCTGTGATTAGGTGATTAAGATCAGATGTGGATCCTCTGGCCATAAGCCTTCACCTTTGAGAAAGTGCCACCTGTCTGAGCTCCATCTTCCATATAAACTGCCCCTAAATCAGCTTCTCAGCCAGCTGGTCCTTTTGTCCACCATCTTGCTGTCCGCTAATAAATTATGACTTCAAGTTATTTGTCTACTACTCCCTACCTTCTCAACTGGCTTCTGTGGTGCAGTGAGCAGATTGAGCCACTATAACTGACGCTATCTAGGGCACAGCAATTGCCTGGCCCAGAGATACTGGGTTCCTGCCCTGCTGCCCACTTTATTCCTGCCATCCAATCAGAGGTTTCTTGCTTCTTCCCATGCCCAGGGTCACTCTCTGGCTTTGCCTAGCTGCAGAGTGAGACCCAGGCTCCAAGTGGTACAGGAAGGCCCTGAATCTGGTTCCATCTGGCTAGAGCCAAAAATGTGAGAGATGCCATTCTGCTCTGGCATCTAGGCTGGGGGAAGATGTCTCTAGAGGCCCAAAGAGAGGGAGTGACTTGCTCAGGAACACAGCAAGTACAGTAAGAACCTAGGTCTCTGGACTTCCAGATGAAACCCAGACTCCTCCTGCTCCATGCTGCCCAGGTTCAACTGCCCATCCCTTCTGTGTGGAGGGTACAGGCTGGCCTTCAGCATCTCCAGGACTTCTGTGCCTGCAGCTCCACATTGGACCAGATCCTTCAGCTCCTTGGGGGCCCAGCCAAATGCAGGTCTTTTCTTGCTCCCCGGCCTACTTTCCTTGAAGTCTTTGGCTTCCCACATGTTCCCTGCCTCGTGGCTTTGTCCATTTCTCCTTTTAATCCTGCTAGTGTTTGGTTCTTGTACTTGAAGTGAGACTATTCTATACATAAATATTTAGGAATTTTATATCTTCATATTTTGATCCTTTTATCATTATGAAAATTTTCTTTTTATTTCTACTAATACTTCTTGCCTTAAAGTCCATATTTCCATGCTGATTGTGGTGGTGTACACCTGTAATCCCAGCAATTGAGAGGCTGAAGCAGGAGGATTGATGCAAGTTTGAGGCCAGCCGAGGCTTCAAGTGAGTTCAAGGCTAGCCTGGAGACCCTGTCTCAAAAAAAAGTCTACATTTCTTATTTTCTATTTAATATCCAGTCTAATTAAAAATATTACTTATTGTATATTAAGCCACAATTCTGATATCTATTTTTTGTGCTGACTTCCATAAGGGCCCAATCCTTCTCTGACTGCATATTAATTTCTGTCTAACTTAGCTGTCTGTAATATTCCCCCTTCTGAACAAGTATTCCTACTGCAGTTAGGGGACAATGGGGGAAGTTTCAATCTAAATGCTTTGAGCTGGTCTAGGATAGGTAGCAGTCAAGAATTTTCTCCAGGGCTGGAGATTTAGCTCAGTGGTTTGACCGCCTGCCTCGCAAGCGCAAGGACCCAAGTTCGATCCCCGGTACCAGAAAAAAAAAAAAAAAAAAAAAAAAAAAAAAAAGAATTTTCTCTACAGGTCTAACCTAAGTGTTCTTGGATGGAAATAGTGTTAGGGTCTAGCAGTTATGGGTTCAATTCAGGTTGAGCTAGTAGACCCCAGTGAAAGGAGTCCAGCACATTTATCATTTGCTCTATCTGCATGATCATTTAGAGTATGAAGGCCTCTAGGTGAGAATAAATAAATTTTACCAAGAGATTAAGCATGTATGGCCAAACATAAATACCATAATTAAAAGACAGTTTGAGGGCCAGGGATTTAGCTCAGTGGTTTCTCCGCCTGCTGTGCAAGTGTAAGGACCTGAGTTCGATCCCTGGTACCAAAAAAAAAAAAGACAGTTTGGAAGGAGCCAAGTCCAGACACTGTTCTGAAAGGACTGGAATAGGGATTGTAACCACCTGGGCCCTAGACCTTCCTGCTCATGAAGGTTATTTATAGTTTGATATTTTCTAAAAGCTCTTCTTCCACCTGATACGAGTTTTTTAAATTAGTGCACAGGTCCTTCTACTTTCAGCTGTAGATAGAGAACTCTGTTTTTGTA